ATAAGACGTTAACACCACACAAGATCCTTACGTAATTGTGCATTGTTGCATGGAGGAGTGGGGAAAGGGAACTATATGTACATGTATTAAAGTGATAGTGTTAGTGTTAGTGTTATCCGCATCGAGCTGCTCTTGGTCCATGAGAGCGCATCAACAACGCCGTGTAACAGTACAGAGCGGGACAACTGGACTATTATAAGATTATGGGTTATGCACTCACATGTCCATTAACTTGTAGAGTTAAAATGCAACTGAATGCATGGAATGCCAACACTAAGATCCACCGGGGAAAACAATGCAATTTACGCGTATTCCGAATATCATGTACAAAGAAGATGACACGCGCAGATATACTAGTACCGCGTACAATTGTAAACAACAAAGGAAGGTTTTATGGTACTCCATCTTCAGACAACACCCACCAAAGATACCTTCATCTCTTGTATATTTGGTTTTCTTCCTTCATTCCATGTCGTATTGTTTGAACAAACCCGTTTTGGACCAAACATACCGTGGATGAAAAGGTGAATAACTTAGTTGTAGTAAAGCACCATTGTGTGTACATGTACAGTGTATGTCTTGTGTGGATTGTTGAGGAGCTCACGACAGGACATTCTCCTTGACAATTCACTCGGGGCTATTGTGTTGTTCCACTGAGTCCCATGTAGTGCTGCTTTCTTGACTCGATGCGGCCTGATCTGATTATCGGTAAGTCAATCTGCATGCCAATGCTGTACACGCAGCAAGACTAAGAGTAGGAACTCGCAGCAGTCTGTGGACGTGCAACGTAGAATATCACAGTACAATGTTGAGCATTGTTGCTAGAAGCTTGCTGTGCCCATCGTGGTATTGAGCACTAGCTGTTATGTGAACAAAGGAATAATTCTACAGTCTTGACCAACATGTATCCCATGCAAGCGGGTAGAGCACTTGGCAGAAAAATGCCGGCAGAACAAATGGCAGAACTAAGTTGGTTTTTTTTCTTGTACATGTAAGTTTCACGCATGATCGTTATGTGGATAAAGAAATGGAGCAGAATTCAAGGAAGAGCCTTCCATAAGGTTTGTATGGTTTGGCACATTTCACTGGTTTTCTAGTAGAATCTACCAGGCAGCAGGCACAGTGGGTTGGTCAAAGACCATCATTGAGATACGAGAGGTACCTGGTTCAAGTCCTGCCTGGGAGCGGTTTTTCCAGCCGTGCTGCTACCCACAGTCAACTGGGAACTTGTGGCCAGGCACAAGGGGTACATGGATGCAGCTAATGGGGTCGTTCTTGGCACTTGTGCCAGTGGTTGTGAGACTTACCCTTTCACCCCCACCGTTAGGCGCTGCATCTGCCGCTAGGGTTTACCGGGTGTTAGCGGCCGTCGTGAGTTCCCTTCGGGAACGGACACGATAATTTACTTTACTTACCAATTTTTCGATCACTATCCACCATTGAAGCCCAAGGGCTTTCAGCGGGAACAGAAAGATTGATGCTGGATGCTGCGTGCCGCAAGCTCCGTTATTCCCCAGTCGACAGTGTTTCAATTCGGAGTGTGAGCTATCAGCGGACACCAAGCAAACGGTTACAACAAAGTACATTCCACTCGCAGCCGGATCGTGATTCGAATTATGAGAAATTCCTGCCGTGGAGCGGACTGAATGCAGTCCGGGCGGATGGCATGTTGAGCCCTCCCGCCGGGAGATGCATGGAATACATGATGTCTCGCGTTGCGCAACATGCCGACAGACTACTCCATGCAGGCGCGCACAACGGACAATAGCTGGGAGTTAGTCTGGCCCGAGAGCGCATTAGAGTGACCCAGTATTCATTAGACATTAGCACGTTACAGCTGGAGTCGGTCCATTAGTGCTGGGCTGCTGGATCTGCTTCACACCGCATACACAATGTCACAGGGCATGATTTCCCGGCGCGATCAATCTAAAACTTAGAGAACTAGCGGCTAAGCCTCTTTTAACCATGCACATGTGTGTACGCGTAGCTTAGGTCAAACATTAGTTCATGGAAGGCCGAAGTCGTACACCCCAATGGCTATGGAACGAACGTTTAGCGTTCCGACCGTATCGCTATAATGATAATCACCGCATTATATACATGTACATACATGTACACGGCAATGCTTCAAACACTCGTCACACACTGCACAACCATGTACATGTAGCTTATGTGTATATGTATGTGTATGTGTATGTGTCTCTCGGACTTAAAATGCCAAGGCCAAGGGTGATTCTTTGTCTCTGGTAATCAGCTAGCAACCACTTGACTGCTCGTAGTTATACATGTACATGTACATGATGGTATGTTCCTTTCCCGTAAACCAAATTTGTAGCAGATACCAGGAAAAAATCGCATGCGGTCCATCTCAGACTCGGAGCATTCATGTAGATGTAGTCCAAACACTGAAAGAGAAAGGCGCACCTCGTCTCCCTTTCTCCGGCATCCGGTTGGCGCAAGTATATTTGGAGCCTAGGCCAGCCGTTCCCGGGATTCCTTCGACTAGCAGTAGCATATTCCTGGACCGTTCGTGGTCTTCCTTCGACTAACATACATGTTCATCCATGTGTCCGCGGGATACCTTCCACTAGCTTACCCTGGCCCAGGCGTTCCTAGGCTTCCAGGGACCCACTGTAATGACCATCGAAAACACAAACTCAATATGGGTGCGTTGCTGGTACTTGCATGTAAATTGATCCTGGGGTTTCTGTTGGTGTTATACGAGCAGATCATGTTACTACTGCTACTTTTCACACAGTAAGTAAGACCAACAGAAACCCCCAGGATCAATTTAATTGTCGGATCCACATGCACAGTCACTTCCCAGTGGATATTGCTCCACAACAGAAAGACGTGCTTGAGACCCTGTTGTAGAGTTGAGATGCCAAGTGGCCGGGTACTTTTCGGGTCATCCTCAGTTTGCAACAGGACGGGGTGTCAATGCCACGTGACAACCAGTGAGTTGCCGGCAGCAGAGTTTGTATCCAAAACGACCCCTAGGCCCTGTCAGTCAAGAACCAGCACATAACGGAATCACGTGAAAGGCAGTTTCCTATACCAAACCCGCCACGAACGGTCAGTGGAGTGCGGTGCGGTGTAGATTGTATCCTAGGCACTCTGATCGAGCGAAAGAGCCACAGGTGAGGATGCGGAAGAGCCAATCCAGACTTGGTTGAGTCGAAGTGGAACTATGCGAAGACCCGGCTCCGAGTCACCTCCACTGTGAGAGGAAGATCCAGAATGTACGCGCACACACACACACACACACACACACACACACACACACACGCACGTGCCCAGCGCTCTTCGCGTCCAGAGGCATCCACAGCATTCGTTGCAGTGTCATGCCGAGGCAGGGGATGGTGAGCCACTTGCCGATGTATGGGGGGGGGGGGGGGGTCGGAACCATCCAACAACGACAGTAATCCGTACGTGTACATGTACTAACAAGTGCATGAGGGCCTCTTGCACACCAGGCGATTGCCTGCTAATGCCTGCAGTCCAGTCCTGAAGTCCTGCACGAGCATCTAGTGTGCCACACTGTAGCCTAGTGTAGGCCACAAAGAGGAGAGAGCAGGGCACGATTATGAATTTATGGGTTGAACAAATGACTCACTCGCGATCGCCCACACGAGCATACGCGTGATGTGTTTGGGCTCGATTTCACGCACATGTTCACTGTAGATAGTGATGTGTATGCAGTGTGAGGTTTCGGAGCAGAGCAGCGCATAGCATACATGTTGTCAAAGTGCGTGTGGGAAGCCAATAATTCTTGTTTGTTACCACTACCAGTGCAGTGGTGCACCGGTGATGAATGGTACAGTGCGTTGGCAACATTAATTAATGCGATAAACGTATGTATTTGCTGGAGCATTGGACCAGAGATACATGTGCTATACAGTATGTGGTCAAGTGAGCATTACCCAAAATGTGTGTGTGTGTGTGTGTGTGTGTGTATGTGTGTGTGTGTGTGTGTGTGTTTGTGTGTGTGTGTGTGTGTGTGTGTGTGTGTGTGTGTGTGTGTGTGTGTGTGTGTGTGTGTGTGTGTGTGTGTGCCGTCACAAGTGCTTGGATGAAAGGGCCAAGCCCATAGCAGAGCAGCGCGGTGCAGTGCAATGTCCCCAATGTCAACGGTGGCTACGCAGCCGTGGTGGGCTATCGCGGCATAAATGCACACCCCATGATCCTCAGCCCCGTGAAGACCATCCCCAAGCTATTGCAAGGGACTGTTGCGCAGCTCACTGCCCCACATGTGACCGCTGTTTCGCCAGACCGTCTGACAGATCACGACACAAATGCCACCGTAGTACGCATCGCCCGACTGCAGCAACACGATTGACATTTGAATGGTCCTGCCCCGACTGTGGCCGCCGTTTTCGCCGCGGGGGCGACCTCACCCGACACAGATGCCAGCGACCTCCCTCCTCCCCGGTTCTCTCTTAAGGAGAGCCACGTGGCCCTTGTGGCAGTGCTGAACAGGAACAGGAACAGGAACAGGTGTGTGTGTGTACACACAATACTCAATACTAGCTAGAAAATTAATAACGTTATGTGTATGGCTACATTGTATATATAATGTGTGTGTATATGTGTGTGTATATGTGTAAATGGTATTTACAACTGTATGTGTCCATGTATGCTCGCACGTAAACACGGACGGCATAAGGCATTGTGTCATGCACCGGCGGCTCTTGGACGCATAAAGCCCATCGCCATCAATCAATGCCAGTGAGTGTGAGGCGCGCCAGGGCTGCGGGGTCACACTCAGACACGCTCACCGAGCCTTGCCTCGCATGTCGCCAACACCACCACCACCGCTGCACCCCCACCACCTGCACTGCATGCATTGGCAGTCAGCCGCTAGCCTCGGCTGCAGCACCACTTGACCACCTACCCCCTCTTGACCACGTCCGTGTGTGTGTGTGTGGTGTGTGTGTGTGTATGCTCCCGCGCTTACCCCATTGGCGTTGCGCTGATATAAAAGGATCACGACCGGCTCCGACTGCAGAGTTCTAGTCTTGAGTTGGTGAAAGTGAGATCGTGAGAGTATCTGTGTGGCTGGATAGTAGATAACAGTGTTTCCCCGCTTATACCTACAATGGCGAGCTTGATTAGAAGAAGTAGCCTGCGACGACGCAGTCAAAAGCGCAAGCGCACACCCTTCACCAAAGAGGTGGTTATACACGATGTGATCCGGAAAGGCAATGTGGACGATATGCAGAGAGTGTTCTGTTGTCGCCGATCCAGCAGTCGCGGAGCAGCCCAGACCCTGCGTGATTTGTTCACCCGTCAGTCGTCAACAGTTCAGCCTAACAACATTTCACCGTCCACGGCAGCGGCATCAGGGAACTGTCCCAGCAATGGAACCGTGTGTAGCGATAGCGCAGAGCCCGCTGCTCAGATGGACACGGAGTGTGTGAAATGCGACGTCAACCAGGAGTTGCTTGGTGGACGCACACCACTACACTTAGCAGTGGATACAGGCAAGCTCTGGGTTGTGCAGTTCCTGGTGGAGCATGGTGCTGAGGTAGATCGGGAAGACAACTCTGGCTGGACCCCACTGCACAGAGCCATAGGTGGTAGCTGGTTGGACATCGTTAAGTTCCTCTTGTCGCACAAAGCCGACCCATGCAAGCGCATGCCTGATGGCTCACTGCCGCTCACAATTGCCCTGGAGAGACGTGACGTCGCCCTGGTGAGCACTCTCATCTCTAGCGGTCGCCATGACTCCCGTCTTAGCACTGCCACCAGTAGCGCTGTCACCGCAGACGACAGTCACGTGGCCTTGCGTCATCACCGACAAGCTATGGAAGAGGCTAGCAGCAGAGGCGCAAGTCTCCGGAGGACGCCACAAAACGAGCAGCAACCGCAGAAGGCAAGCGTAACTGGCTCGTCTGTACGTCGCTCGGCCTCCTTCACGTCTCGGAGAACAACTCACAATCTGAACAAAGCCTCCACAATGGTCACAGCGACACAGTTGATTGCGCAATACAACGAACACCAGAAGACAAGTGGCAGAAGCGAGCTGGAGCAGCAGAGACTGAGAGCGAGAAATCCACTAACGGGCAGCCAGCAGGGTGGAAACGACGAGGGAAACGATTCGCTTCACTCTCAGCCACGGAAGCTACACACATCGGTGGGCTTCAGACGCGCCGGTCCGGTCAAAGTCTGGCGTAAGGGCTCCGTGGCGAGCATTCAGGAGTCCTCGGGTACGCCATCACCCTCGTCCGTCATTGCAGATCATCTCGCCGGCGCAGTGCTATCACCGTCCGTGGTCCTGACGGCACCGTCGTTCGACGAGGGATTCGCCGAACAGATGGACTCGGACAACTCGTCGGCCGGTCTAGATAACTCGACGGGTCTGTTCTCCGACAGCGCGGGCTCTCCCGACAGCTCCACGGCCAACACCAGCAACAGTGCCAGCGTCGTCATTGACTACTTCCAACGTGGAGCCAGCGGCCGGAGCAGCTTCCGGCGCGCGCTCACCGCGTTCACGCGCCGTCCAAGCCGCTCCCGGACGCCGTCGCCTTCAAGCTCTCCCAAACAGGAAGACAAGATACTTGTCATAAACTCATAAATCACGTGATTACTAGAACTGAATCTCAAATACCGGTAATTTCCGGCCGATCACATTCACGATATCAATATTTTCTTTTCATATTTCATATCTATTTTCCGACCGACTTCGTTCCTCTTGTCAAAACCTAGGCTTTCCAATTTCATTATTTCAACCAGCCGTGCGTTCGGCTTACAACGCAATCTGAAACTAACCAGTACGAAACTGAACTTAAAACTGAAGTCACGTGATATGTGTGTGTGTGTGTTCGTGCGTGCAGTGGATTGCGAGATTAAACCGCAGCCCAACTGCAGAATAGGTGAGTCAGGGTGGAAGGAATAGCGGATGAGATTTATACTCCGATCTGTAGTCAGCTCTTGGTGGATAATGCTCGAAAGATTAGCAGATTCTGCTCGAAAAGCAGTGAAATTGACAGAACCATACAAGCCTTATTGCAGGAACGTCCTTGAATTCTGCTCCATTTCTTAATCCACATACCAAACATGCATGAAGCATACCAGAAAAAGTAACAAATTAATTCTACCAATTTTTCTGCCGGCATTATCCGCCAATGGGTTAGCTCTAGACTACATGTAGTTACAGACAGCAGAAACATGCAACCGTCCAGATGGGATGTGCAAAACACCTGCACAAGTAGTCACCGAGGCATTTCAGTCTAGCTGCTGATTCCGACGGGTAGCGTGATCTCGCGGCTGATCGTCAATAGCCTGAGGAGACCGTCACAGTTAACCTTGCACTCGACGACAGGGCAGCTATTATTCTGTACATTGTAGTGGATCCCCAGACAACTGGCTGTATCGACATTCTAGGCCTGAGAGCCGAGTTCAGAGGGACTGACATAAACCAGCACAATGAAGTCATTTTCACGTTGGCTCAAGGCTTCAAAGTCTGAGAGCTCTGGGTGCTAACACATCACGTAATGTTGGTTGTTCAATGTGTTAAGCTCGATGCTTCGAAGTCACAGAGCTATGGGTGCTAAAAGCACCACCACGTAATGTTGGTAGTTCAAAGTGTGAATGCAAAGGGTAACACCGTTTCCTGTGGTCTGTACTGGTATTGGAGGTGCGAACGCTTTGATCGTTGCTGGGTACACGGCGCACACCGATGGACACCGGCCTGTCGAACCTAACCTTGGATGTCGTGGTTATTCGCCCAGTGTACAATACATTATACTGATATTATACATGTAGCTCCAGATCACTGAAAAAGGTGATCATGGTAGCCGTAGGGGCAAGTAGAGAGATTCGTCATGCTTGTTACCACTGCTGAATAGGAGCTGGAGCGAAGCGTTAACGCTAGCACAATAGGAAAGCTGGAGAACAATGGGATGATTCGACGGATTGTTTATGACCCACGTCCCCCCTCACCCCCCCCCCCCCCACACACACACACACACACACGCACGCACACACACACACACACACACCTCATCTTCTTCCTCCACGCACACTTGTTCTCGACCCAGAAATAACGACATGATCATCGACTGCAGGTGTTTGAACGACAAACGATCAAACATTATGTAAACACATCTACATTGTATTAAACGCTGCGTATTCTTGTACCTGTCATGACCACAATCACCGACATGTACACAGTAGCCTGTGGAAAAAGAAGAAACAAAACGTTCAGTCGAATGCACTGACCATGCACCAGGGAGCTAGCCATGGGAGCGTAAATGAAACAAGGGATTTTCCCTGGAATCTACATGTCATGTAGATATACATGTACATGTACATGACTTTAAAACTGATGGCACCCAGCCATGCCATGATGCCAGTGCAGCTAGAACGTGTATTGTAGATAGTCCTTATTCGCGAGTGTTGTTATACCCGAAGTCTCATTGTACATGTATGTATTACAGGTGGATGGGACTTTGCTCTGGGCATGGAAATTCTGTCGTTATTCGCGTACTGTCGTTATGTCCGCAGTCGTTATTCGCGTACTGTCGTTATGTCCGCAGTCGTTATTAGCGAGGTTGACTGTACACACGGTACAATCATGTGTCATGTACATGTACATGCAATAGGCACAAATGAGGTTTGTGAATGTTGCAACTCTGCCGCTTCTTGCACAATGCAATCATCAGGCGACTTGACAAAGTTGTAGCACATTCAGTGGGACTGGGCCAATAATGGCACTATAATTATAAACCATAATTTTGGTGATGGTTGGTAGGTAAATGTATTAGACTCAGCACAGACAAGTCTCACTCACTCCAAGTCCCACTGCACGTGTCACAAGTCGCCTGATGCATTGTGCAAGAAGCTGCGAGTTGCAAACATTACTCTGCAAACCTCGTTTGTGCCTTTTGTGTCGGTCCCAGCTCCACGTTATTGTGCTGAGCCGCTCTCCACTAGCACTGGCTAAAATTAAAAAGGAACCTCGTCACGTTCATGTACGCGCATGTGGCGTTACTTGCTCCCCTGGCAACCATGTACCAGCCCCTGCAGGCTGCAACTGCTCAGATCCAGGTAGTTTAGTCATGTAGTACTGGTTCAAGCTTCTTGCTTTAATACTTCACTGTATGCATGTTTTTCTACAAGGGTTGCATGGGGGGGGGGGGGGGGGAGGTGGGGGCCACGCTGCTTATAACAGTACTACCGGTAGTATGCAGATACTGCATTACCCTCCGGTGACCATGGTGTCAGTATCGGTGACGTGCTGTTACTGTTATGTGGCGTGATGCGTAACATGCGTAACTGATGTATTTAGCTGCAGTCACAGTTTTTACTCAGCAGTACAGTGAAGTCGTGTGTGTACGCGTGTGTATGATTCAGCATTCGGACCGGAAATAGAAGAAAGGTTTGATCCATGTGCCCCCCCCCCCCCTTGTATGGCGGAAAGCTCCAGAAACGGCGCACGAGGTGCCAATGGTACAGTGCTGGTGTATGATTGTTATTCGTTGAGTGCATGGTGTTCCTGTGCTGTATGCTGTACTGAATGCAGTGCAACAATCAGACTAGACGGGACACTGGGATGAGTAATCATGGTAATGACCATTGATAAGTGCTACCAAGACTTCGTTTAATACGGTTTATGCCAAATTATGGACTCTTGGTGCTACACTAAAGAGATCAAGCCCTTCTAAATACGGATTGCTCGATACCTACATGCACATGTACATGTAGCATGCACAATATTATTGCACATCAGCCATCAATCCCATCACCTCATGTCACATGTTGCATTATTGCTGGAGCACATAATAACATTGAACTCTGGAACCAGCTAGGAACATGAAACGAAGGCCAGTAAAGCGATCCTGACAGTGACTGTGACAGTACCAAAAAGGGAAATGTGCTTCTACATAATAAACACGTGATTAGGCCTTTGCGGATAATGCCGGCAGAAAAATTGGCAGAATTCGGTACTTTTTCAGGTAAGTTTCATGCATGTTTGGTATGTGGATAAAGAAATGGAGCAGAATTCGAGGAATTGCCCGCCATAAGGTTTGTATGGTTCTGCCAATTTCACTGCTTTTCGAGCAGAATCTGCCACCTTTTCGAGCATTATCCGCCAATGCCTACTGTGCGTGATGCCATGTACATGTACATGTACAGTCGTGTATGCCAAGTACTGAAATTGTGATGGCAAATGTTCAGTAAACTAGTTAGCTGGATTCGCGGCCGCATCACCACGTGCAGAGGAATACATCAAGCAAAGTTGAAAACACCTTTTTTAGTAACGAGGTTGATATTTTTTTGCATTTCAAGGCATACCCTGAGGCTATAGGTACATTGTATTATTGAGCCCAGGACTATTCTGTAACATTCAGCCCATATTACCGGTATGTACATGTATTTGTGAGCTACATGTAGGCTGTTCATTACCCATCTGCTGTTTGCTATCTCCACTCTACAGCCTCCCATTATAATGGAACTCCCTTCAATTTAGACTATGTCTTTGGGAAATCCTCAAATACATGTATATAATATTATTATGGACTCGGATGGAGAGCCATGGACAAATCTATAGAAAGGAAAAAGCCTAGGACCAAGGAACTACAAGTTACGCTATAATGTCCACTAACAGCATCAGTTACTGAACGATTAGCTCATGCTTGTCTTGGTTGCGCTCACCTTCCCCTCTTGAAAGTCTTATGTTATCATAATATTATAACTTAGAACCTTCCTTTAGTTGGAAGACTGTTGGAGTGCGCATCCAAGATGTGCTAGAGCTGATAGCCAGTTACATGTAGTTGTAGAACGTAAGTACCGTCGGTCAGTGTCGTGCAAGGTTAATTTATCGCATGAGCTGATTGTTTAGTAGCTGGTGGTGTTAGTGGACATTATAGCGTAACTTGTAGTTAATTGGTCCTTTTTCCTTTCTATTATAATAATTATTATAAGAAGAAAAGAGGACCAAAGAGCTTCAAGTTACGATATAATGTCCACTAACACCACCAGTTTACATTCCTTTGGAGTTTTGTGGCAAATAGTGTGCACCTACATGTACATGTACATGACAGGCGCTAGGCAGCGCTATGCTCTTTATTAGTTGACCCTGCACTGCTGACGCGAGTGCTGCGCAGATGAATGACCAGTGCATGAGAAAACGCACAGTCATTACGTGTCAGACCCCGGGCAAATCTGGAGTTTAGATCCGGGGGTCACTGCATGGGGTGTGCATGTGTTTGTTTGATTTGCAGTTTTGAAGTTTTCATTTCACCAGATCCACTCGCGGTACTTGTCACCAAACCATACCATGTACCATACTCAGCACCATAGGTAGAGGCAGAGGGTAAATACTAAAGGGCACACTCTCGATCTCCCCAACAAGCCTATGGATAGTACAATCATGTACATGTATGTTTGACTGGAGCTTCATCCATGCTCACTCATCACTGCGGCATTGTATTTGTAACTTTGTAAGCTACTTCAGTACATTGTACAATGTGTGTTTATCGTGAGTAAGAAAGCGGTGGACGTCACGCAACTGCATCATAAAGAAAAGGAGGTTACTTTATTGTAATGTTTCGACAACACAATAATATTATATAATTTTTTTCATCCAGCGCATGCGCGATATGCGGCGATTGTGAATACTGCAGTACTAGTAGCAACTGAACAGAGCGGTTGTCAGTTGGTAAGACAAGAGTCCATAACCCCCCCAGAGTGTGCAACTCCAGGTTGGGGTCTGGCGCAACGAAATCCAAACATTGCGCCATCCGGTCCCCGGGCAAGCATGGGCGGATGGGGCCATGTGCATATCTGGTACATCCGGCGGGGGTTCCAAGTAACAGTTGAAGCAAGCCACGGAAGTGTCACGTAAAACGTTTGCTCCACGGGCTAGCCGGGCTATGCAGTGTCAGCAGAACGGCTTTGATTTCACAGTCACAGAATTTTTTTATTTGAAGAGAGTTTCTCTGCTCGTTGTCTGAAAAGCTTGTATTGGGAGAGTTCGTGACTCCGGGATAGCAAGAATAGGCATGGATAGATTTACAAGATTTGATGGAAATAGCTCTTGGCACACGGCATGAAGACCCGATCGATTTCGAAGTAGATGTGCTTCAACCTGCTCCTCAGTCCCATTTTGGTCCAATTTCCAACACTCGACAATCGAGAGAAGAAAATGAGGAGCCCAGATCGAGCAAAAACTGACGAATATCGTCCACAGAGACACTGCACTCCGGCGACAATGGGGAGCGCTTTGCTTTAGGTTCAACAGTGGCCATTGTTCTTCTCTTATCGGAGAGACACTCAAAAGAGAAAACTGTTCGACAACTCTAAAATAATTCTTTGTGTACTTGAGCCTTTCAGTTTCAGGGGTGTTACGTGGCCGTGGATTCGTAAAGAAAGACCCCAAATTGGGCAAACGGGCGAAGTAGGTCCGGGCCAAACTTCCCATTTCGTCATAGCTACTCACTACATGACGTATGAAGTTTGGATTTCGTTGCGGCACTGATTTGTGCTGAGAAGGATCACGAGTTGCACACTTTGGGGGGTTATGGACTCTTGATTAAACCTGTAATCATGACATGGCCCAAACACACACCGTACCACAACTAACTTGGCGCAAGGTGATAACACAAGATACTAGTAGTACTTCTAAGTAAAACTACGAAATAGAGATCGCTAGAATGTGAACTAATCGCTCAGGGGTAGGATTTCAGTCACCAGTACTGTACTATTGACCTACATAGGTGTAATAGATTTTTATGATGACAAAACAAACCATGTGTTTGATCCCTAAAAAGGAGTCAAATAAAACCAGTCGATATAGCCCTAAGGAGTGATAATTATAATTATGTATACCGTATTTCCTCGATTAAAGACCCGGTCTTTTGTTTTTGAAGAGGGTTGGACCCCCGGTCTCTTATTTGGGCATGGTCCATTATTAGCACGGTCCACTTTATTTTCATCGGCACATCACTGGAAATGGTGGATTTTTAACACATCCTAATATTGAAGTTCTATATTATATGACGTGTTAAAAATCCACCATTTCCAGCGATGTGCCGATAAAAATAAAGTGGACCGTGCTCAAACAATGAAAGAAAGCACTAGCCACTACAAAAATTGTAGTTGCGCAACCTAAAATCCTTTTTTGATCCACCACGTGCTTTCTTAGTGCGCACGCGCAAAGCGATGAACTCAAATAAGAGACCGGGTCTCTTATTCGGGCATGGTCTACTATTTTTCCGTGAGGCCTCTAGGAGGGTCTACTATTTGAGCATGGTCTATTATTCGAGCATGGTCCATGAATCGAGGAAATACGTGTAACGGTATGCATGAGTATTTGACTGCTTAGGTATGGCGATACTAGGAATCCGGCAATGGGAGTCAATACTAAGAGAGTGATAAAAGGTGATAATAGCCATGTACAGCAGAGTAGGGAGTAGTAGTAACTGCCTTCATGTAACAGTTACTACTGCACAGGTACAGGTACTTTCCAGTAACCACCCTAGTCACATGGGGTCAGAAGGGATTGTGGAGAGCAGCATACGACCAACTCGAAAAATTTGAACATGACCTGCCTATGCCTATCATGATTAATGTTGACGAGTGAGAGGAGGGGGGGGGGGGGAGGAGGAGAGAGAGAGGAGAGAGAGAGAGAGAGAGAGAGAGAGAGAGAGAGAGAGAGAGAGAGAGAGAGAGAGAGAGAGAGAGAGAGAGAGAGAGAGAGAGAGAGATGGAGAGAGACGGAGAGAGAGAGAGAGAGAGAGAGAGAGAGAGAGAGAGAGAGAGAGAGAGAGAGAGAGAGAGAGAGAGAGAGAGACGGAGAGAGAGAGAGAGAACTACATGAGTGATGGTTCCATACAGTTGTGGAAATACTGGCTCCTGGTGGCCAATGAAATTATGATCGTGCCAGTCACGTATACGCCCTGCAGTGCTCCCAGTGTTCGCAGGTCCAGGGTTGCACAACGCTCGGGGTGTACTAAACACTCACGGTTAGATTTCATTACGCAGCGGCACTACACATACAGGCATTCGCTGGAACTCATTCGTTCGGTGCCATCATAAACTTGAGTGGACACACCGAATAGCAGAGCTAACACAGGGGAAGCAATTCGAATTCCGCAGAGTCCAATCTTTACTTGCTTGCACAAACAAACCAGGGATGGGGGAAGTTGTTTTAGGGTGGTACTATAAGCTACCAGAAGTAGCACTTACTCGTGGGGTTGGGGCGGATACTGTAAATACTTTAGAAATTAGGGCCCAAATCAGTGCCTTCTATGAATTCATAGGGTACCAGGGTACCCGGGGGCACAGAGTGGCACGGTCAAACCCATAGTGGCCGTGGCATGTCCGGCACTGCAGCAAACCATGACTGACTAAGGCGGGCAGCAGCTGTCAGTCTAGGCATCATCCTCCTGCACTTTCGAGGCGATCACCTTGGCACCGACCGTGTCTAAGGCTAGCATGATTGGGCTGATGAGAACACGTGACGCGGCGCGCAACGCGGCCAGCTTGCTCTCGGTCTGCGAGCCAAACGCGTTACTGCTCTCCAGCAGGAACGACCGTTTTAGGTTCCCCGCTTCCAGGGCCTCGTCCATGTCCGCCACACCCAGCCAGGTTGAGCAGCAGAATGTGGCGAAATGCTCACAGTGCCAACTTAGCTTATCGTACTCGTTGAACACGGTGGGGTGACGTAGGAACCAGCGAGCTAGGGCTACCGACGTACGGTGTGCGTTGCGAGGATATTCACTGCATGTACCTGTAGAGAGAGAGAGAGAGAGATGGAGGGGGGGGGGGGAGAAAGAGAGAGAAAGAGAGAGAGAGAGAGAGAGAGAGAGAGAGAGAGAGAGAGAGAGAGAGAGAGAGAGAGAGAGAGAGAGAGAGAGAGAGAGAGAGAGACAGACAGTCATAGACGGACAGTTATAGGGGGCGTCTCAATATGTATAGAATTGGCAAACACACGCGAGGTTAGACTGACTGACACAATGCCTCACCATTGCCTCACCATCAGTCATGTTACTTGTACAGTACATCCTTGCCCAACATTTATATCATATCTAGCTGTTCTTCATCATGTTTTGGCTGCTCACTGACGACAGGTACTAGTACTTCCGAGTCTGGCGGAATGTCAGTCCGCTCCGAACTGGACTTGCAACGACTTGATCAATCCCACTGTTTCCTGTTGGAACAGGAATTATGCAGTCGCATGCAAGAGCGCTTTGCAAAAAATCCATCCAGGCTCTGCTGGCCGGAGCTTGGCTTCTTTGGTCCATGGATGTCGCTGAGACTTCGCAGAAAAGTCTTCAAGTCAACCAACTCACGATTCGATTCCCGAGGCGATCATCCTCAAAAACATCATTGTACATCGTTGCGGAAAGAGGCGCTTGACAATCACAAGCTTCGTTTTGTCCCGCTTGGACAGCGCTGCGTTCAGCACATCACTGCACGCCTCTCTCAAGACACATCGAGCGCGTCCTGGAATCTGTACAAAAAAAGTGTTGAGCTCGTACGAGAGCAGAGTCGATCGTTTCTTTCACAGTGTAATCAATGCCGCTCGCGCACCGACGGTCCGTGCAACCGCTTTTGGACGCTGCTTCCCACCACGTAGAGTCTACCGCCTGTGCACATGGTGCATGCAGCAGCCTGGTATTTTTTCAAACCCAGGTCTAAATTTGAGCCCCCCCCCCCCCCCCCCCCACACACACACCCTCCTACACCAGCCTTCATTTCATACATTTCCCAATAGAAAGAAGTCTGGATTATTTCGTAAATAGCGCAAGGCTATTCACCGAGAAAAGAAGCCATCTAGGCTTGGACATTTCACTGTCAATGAGGCTATTGACGTTTGCAGGTCTTGGAGTCTGATTTCTACATCCCAACAAGAAAGATAAAATTGAAGTCGCCAAAAAAGAGGAACATTCCCTTGAAGCCAGATGCAGTCACACCAAGATTTCCTGATTTCACAGCCATCTTCTCCGAAGGGAAAGGCTTGAACTCCTCATACGGCCCTGGCTAAGTGCAAGAAGTCTCCAAAGGTCAAAAGTTCTCATAACTATGTTATAGAGCCGTCACAGCTGACAAGAGAGATCTCAGTGTCTGGCACACAGTCAACTGGTAGTCACTGTTCTGTGCAGCCTGGTTCTGTATTTCTATTTTCTATTATTTTAAAAGCCCAATCATAATTATGAGGACAAGCTTGCTACCTTGTTAATCATCAGATTATTCTTTGTATTCGACTTGAAAAGTAATGGAACGAAAGGCCTAGTCGAAACTATAATTATGGCTTCTATGCTTCGTGTGCTGATTCGTTTCCCTCCAACCGAGAATCTATCTAAACATGTGTACACACACAGACACTCAAGTATGTGCACACACACACACACACACACACACACACACGTACGTACACACACAGACATTCACGAAGGAGTACACACGTGTGCTCACACGCACACGCACCTGTAGGAGCGACGCTAGAACGCGCTTTGCTGCGCTCGTAGCGGAAGAGGCGCAGGTCGTGCGGGCCGGCAAAGTCTTCGATTTTCACACACTTCACGCAGCCAACTCCACCCTCAGCGGGAACATGCACGGTTCCGTCATCTTCATCACCTTCGACAGCTACTATGGCTTCTCCCTCGTTATGTTCTCCATCGTCTTCACCACTCGGAAGTTGATCTTCATCGTTACTAGCGGGCTCATGATCGGATGGAGGGTCATCAACGTCTCCCGATGAAGTAGAGGTCGTTTCTGACCCCGGTGGGCCGGAGGAGGCATTGGGCTCGTCATTTCTCAGTGTTTCGTCACCAGTACTCCGGGAAGTGGTAGTTGGCGATGCTTCTGACGCCACCTGTCTGGAGCTACTGCCACCGGCAGAACCTGATCACAGATGTCAAACACACACACGGACACACACACAGACACACACACATGCACGCACACGGACACTGACACACACGTACACACACACACATACACACGGACACACATGGACACACACACATGCATATTAACTTAACACGCTGCTTGCAGTACAGAGAGTGCTAGCCAGCGGAGTGAGTGTCTACTGAGAGAGATCGAAGGGATTGTTCAGGCAATCAGTCTTAACCGAGCCAAGACGGTAGTCAAATATGAGTGCCAGAAATTGAGAGCCCGGGGGAAAGGGGAGTTGCTAACACCATTTACTATACTAACTTACTTTATTCAAGCGAACGAGTGATGTGAAAAGGGGAGGTGGGATTGAAAAATAGAAATCTGACGGACATAAGGTTTGATCAGATGGAGACGGGATAAAACAGAGAAGTAATTTGGAACGCAGAGCCAAGAAAACTGCAAGTTTGTCTGCGTCATCTTGTTTAGCCGGCATGGGTGATGCACTACCCATGTGACCATAGTGACCACAGTGAGCACTGTCAGGCAGGTCATGTGACCACAGTGAGCACTGTCAGGCAGGTCATGTGACCACAGTGAGCACTGTCAGGCAGGTCATGTGACCACAGTGAGCACTGTCAGGCAGGTCATGTGACCACAGTGAGCACTGTCAGGCAGGTCATGTGACCACAGTGAGCACTGTCAGGCAGGTCATGTGACCACAGTGAGCACTGTAGGCCTAGCCCAAATTTGCCGGCAATTCTTCCAGCAAAATATCGAATTTTCCAACAAAAAGAAATTGCTGGCAAATTCCGAGCAAAATATCGAATTTACAGAGGATCCGGGTGTGTTTCGGTAATTTTATTCAAATTTCGTTGGTTTCATTGGGCCAACGTCGTGCTGAAATAGTTCGTGCAGGTTGTCAGGGGTACATAAATTTGAAATCATGCTCCAAAATCCGTAATACTGACACCATTATAAGTTTTGCTTTCCTCGTCAGAGTCACCATCCACTTTTACCAAAGTAGACGGTTCATTCGAAGCCATTTTTGCCACAAAGCAGGAGCAAAATGGAGCAAAATATCGGAAACGAAAGGCAATGCCAAGCAAAATATGGAAAGTGATCGGACAAAATTTGCCGGCAAAATATCGAAGCGCCCCGAGCAAATTTGGGCTAGGCCTAGAGCACTGTCAGGCAGGTCATGTGACCACAGTGAGCACTGTCAGGCAGGTCATGTGACCACAGTGAGCACTGCCAGGCAGGTCATGTGACCACAGTGAGCACTGTCAGGCAGGTCATGTGCAGCATGCACACAGCTAGCGAGAGTTAGAGTGCGAGCAGACAGCAGTGGTGTAAGCATACAGTTGCAACACAGGCCATTGGAGCGGCATAGTTTGAGCAGTAGCATCAAGGAATGTGCACCCGTTTAATCTACAGAATAATGATGCACACACGCACGCACGCACGCACGCACGCACGCACGCACGCACGCACCCACACACACACACACACACACACACACACCTTGAACGTGCCCATTGCCGATGGCAATGATAGCGAAGGGACTATCTGCTAGCTTTGCAGTACGGAGCGTGGCGCTTGAGATCCCCGGGACGAAGGCAGACCTTTCCACATACGCAGCGGAAGCCAGAGTCAGGATCAGGGGGAGCACGGGCGGGAAGACGATGAGCAATCTGCCTTCAGGCAGAGCGATCCTGGGAAGCATCAAACCAGCAGTCAGCAGGCACAGGGGGGCTGATGGAGCGGAGATCATCCACGATGACGTCACGCCACCGTTTGCGTGGACCATGGTGAGGGCGCGTTGCAGGGAGCTCCCCAAACAAAACTCGCTTCGGCATACGGTCGTCGTTCATCCGCCAACATGGCCAAGCCAACGCAGTCGATATTCCCGGACGATGTCCGCGACGTCACAGTCAATGCCGAGGGTTCTTGCCATGGTAATGGAGGTGACGCGGTTGTCCCACTGGTCCTGCTCGGGTATGCCAACGATGATGCGAACACACTGGTGATGAAAGGCGTTGAGAGAGCGCAGGTTCGGTGCCTTCGACGTCCACGTCCCTGCTCCGTACAGGAGGGTCGTCAGCACAAGGGCGATGTACACGCGGCGCCGACAGCGGAGAGATCCGATTCTTAAACACCGGGATACGGAGACTGCAGAACACACGCGAAGCCTTGGCGAGACGGGACTGAACATCATGCGAAGACTGCCCGTCCCGATGGATGACGCTGCCAAGGTCCTTGCATGAGTCAATGGAAGTGAAGGTCCGCATTGAGGGTGGTGTCACTGCTGCCATTAACGTCAACAACGGTCTGCGTCAGGGTTGTACTTTGGCACCCGTCTTGTTTAACTTGTATTTCTCTGCAGTCTTGGGTATTGGCGCTCCATGTGCCCGGATGCTGGTGTTGAGCTGCACTACCGAGTTGGCCGAAAGTTGGTTGGAGACCGCACTGCCAAGTCCCGCCTGCAACGTGATATCATCACAGAGTCCTAGTTTGCGGACGATGTTGCAGTGTATGCCACCACTAAGCCGACTTTCGATCGATGCACGGAATTGTTCGTTTCGTGTGCGGCGCGGTGGGGCCTCACGGTCAGTCTATCAAAGACCAAGTGCATGACTGTCAATTCGCCCATGAATGAGCCGGTGTCTCTTGGTGAGAGCACCATCGAGGCCGTTGACAGTTTTACGTACCTTGGCAGCGTCAAACACACACACACATACACACACACACACACACACACACACACACACACGATGTGATATCCGTACTAGTGAGCTACCTCACGTGATAGATCATTATCTTTCTACTCCTCTACTCTAAGTTGTATCAGCCGCGCATGCTTTTCCGTTGTGCTGCTGAGCTTCTCGGTCGTTCTAGTTCGGCGTTCTAGTTTTGATCTTGAAGTCAACAGTTCCCCTTTTGTCTTGTCCTGAACTGCTCTGGTGTGATCATAATATTTGCCACCCAGGCACACCCAGGCACACCCAGGCACACACCCAGGCACACACACCCACCCAGGCACACACACAGACTCACCTCGAATTCGCAGCGAGGTCAGCACACTTTCCATAGGATTCGGTGTGGGCACGTGCACCTGCCCACTGGATGCCATAACTACACCACATGGCCGATGGATAATGAAACCATTACCATCGTATATACCTGCAAATACAGAACAACAAGGTCAATCAAGGCTAGTCAAAACGGGTTTATTCAAACAATACGACATGGAAAGAAGGAAGAACACCAAAGATACAAGGGATGAAACTCGACGATGAAATCAAAATGGAAGGGCAATCAAGGCTTGTTTGTCGCTACCTAAAGTGTCATGCTTTGGCAATCATCAGGCATCATGACGATGGGGTACTGACCATGCTCGTATATATTCCAGGAGAGGGTGGGTCTTGTAGCGCTTTATGGAAAGCTGTGTGTGAATGTGGGGGCGGTATGGGTTTCAGGGCTAGCGGTGTTATTTCACGCAGCAGGCTGTGCGTAGAGTGTGTGGTTGTGGTGGGCAGGGGGCTGTAGAGGCAGTGACAGGCCTAGCAGTGCAATGTTAGCGCAGATTGTGCGGCTGGTGTGGGCAGATAGAAACATTACAATACAAACGTGAGTAGATGGTTTGCACAAAGCCAATGACATCATTCTTGCGGGAATTTGCTGGAGAACAGTGTCATGCAGACCGGAAATGCGTATGCACAAAGTCTAGGGATGAAACGATTACACTTTTTCAACTATCGGTTAACCTACGCTTGTATGGATTCGATTATCGATTATGATATCGATTACTGCGTCCTAGAAATTGCCACGGCGGAACAGCACAAAGCATGCCGACACATATATGTTGAAACATACAGTCACGCAGATGAACCGCGTACTCTACACAGTGCAGTGGCACATCACATGCGGGTGCAGACAGTCAGTTTTTTATTTATTTATTTATTTATTTTTTACACAGCCCTACTGGAAAACATGTGGATAACAAAGAAACGAGGAAAAGGACAAAGACAGTAGTGCGCATGTGTACACGCACTGTCGATCTACAATATACATAGCATTATCGGATCCTACCACATGTACATGACATCTTGTACACGTTTTTTTGTTTGTTTTTTTAGAATCACGTAATCAAAATAGACAGCATAATCGAAATCGCTTCGTTGTAATGATCGATTAGACGGATAACCGATTTAGTCGTTTCAGCCCTAGCACAAACGGCAGTGTAGTACCATGCGCTCTCAAATCAAATCTCGCCTCCTGTACTCCACTATGTCGATCTCCCTCACGCGTCAGTTCAGCGGCTGCCTGAATACAAGGCTGTCCATAGATTGAAAAGATTTTGAAAAGCCAGGAACAGGTAAGTACGATGGGCAATGAATTCATGACAGCATGTCCTCCGCCTTGTAACATGCCCGCACAAGAGGCCTTGACTATCGGGAGAAAAAAAACAACAGCCAGCGCACCCACGTGAACTGAACGCTTTTAACTGTTACTACAAATAATTGACTTGATTTGATGCCTGGCCAGCCATAGGATTGGCCCTAGATCGTACTAATGGAAAGGTCGCCTTATCAGTGTTCGTCGTCCTGTGACGAGGTCTGACTGCACAGCTTGTTGCCATTTGCGACACCTGCAACTAGCTGCGGCCGCGTCGCATGGTTCACAGTCTTTTTGGTGTTTGTGACATCCCCACGCATGCACTAGCAGACCTATGCGCGTGAAACCCAGAGTAGTAACTGTACTCCAATAATGTACGTCGCGTGTCGCAAGTCGCAAAAGTTGAACTTTCTTCGGATCCTGCGACAGGTACCTTGCGACCGTACGCAACAGCTCGCGACAGGCATTTTCTTGTCGCAACTGTTGTAAATCGCATGTGGCGTCGCAAAAAAAGTTATAATGTGAATCGGCCTCCACTCTGGGCTCCGCTGAATTTATATAATTTCCAGTGGAATGAATACAGATTGGAGTGTATTCGAGTGTGAGCCTTGGCTGAGGTTGGAAATCGTTACGCAGCATTTTAGCTTCATGGTCGATTGAGGTATCCTACACACTGATACTGACCCCTAGCCGGCCAGGCTCTATTGGGCATAGCTGAAACATAGCATGTTGCCTCCAAGTGGTGAGATGGGGGGGGGGGGGGGGGGGGGGAGGGGGAGCATCGATAACATGCCAATATCAGTGCGCTGCAAATGTATCACAGGTCAGTGGGGAGGGGTATGGGTATCGGATTTTTCGGCCAACAGGGCACGTTCCGGCGCTCTCCAGCTGAGATGCTTTGGTGAAGTCGCGGACTTTCGGCACAGCGCTGTACTTGCACTAGCAACTAACACTGCATATTTAGCGCCCATTTGAAAATCTGCCGACTCACGGCTGTATACACAGCACCCATTAGAAAATCCTCCATGAAACCATATCCGCATAAGCTCTATAAACGTTCAAATGGTTTCATGGAGTCAGTCAGTGGAACTGTGTTTTTGGCCGTGATGCCGAGACCTCAGGTCGACAGAGCCATCAATGCCCCACCATCACTGCTGCGTCTCGGTGCAGCCTCAGCTCAGTAGTTGTCACGTTCGCCCTAGTCTCAGTACCATTGTCCTTCATTATTAGTCTAGGGCTGAAACGAATGCTCAATGAAGCGAACGAATATTCTCTTTCCGAATACATGTGAAACGAAGAATATTCCGAATATTCTAAACCGTGCAATTTCCATGGATACCTAGTTGTATCCATGGTAACCATAGACCATCAACTGGCGTATACCCTAATTACAGGAGGGACATTTGAAAAGGACAATGTTATCGTTTGTCTTGCTGATGACAACACATGGAAGGTGGCAATCTCACTCACTTTCTGCACCAAATAAACCTGTTCGATATCAAAAAGACGAGTTTCTGTACATTTACGAACATTCTTATTCTACTCTAACGAAGAATATTCTTTTTCCGATCTGCACATTTCGAATATTCGAATAATTCGAATATTAATTTCAGTCCTAATTATTACTAAATTTTACGAGTTGGGTATGTGAAATATAGTAAAAAATAAAAATAAACTGCTCATGTCCGCTATGTATACAGCGGATTACAGCGGAACCGCTTATGGGCTCTATGTATGCAGCATCGGTCGCTAGTACAGTGCTGAACCGCGACTTCGCCAAAGCAGCCAAACTGATGATGCTATCGCATAACCACTATTGACTGTGCCGCTTCTCATCGTTGGCACCTGTTTTTTTTTTTTTTTTTTTCGTGAAACGTGCCGATTCAATATTCGTCTAATCCTTTCGTACATGCGCTCTGCAGCCGACTAGCTACCGTCGGTAGACATCGCACACAACAAAATCACAACAACGATTGGTAGCGAGTAGAGAGATATTGTACAGTAAAAACCTGTCAAGACGACCCGTGACTCGGACAAGCCGACCACCTGTCCTAGAAGACCACCGTGAAACCAGGACCAAGCGATGCTATTTCCACTCAAATCGCACTGGATAAGGAGGCCACCTGGTAACAGAAACCACGTTTTGAAGGTCCCTTGAGCGGTCGTCTTAGACAGGTTTTATTGTATGATTGAAAGGCCGAAAGGTACTTCTCCCTACTTTATAGAAACACGCTGATTACAATTCGGAACCTTTCGCAAAGTGCTCCGAAATACCACCTATAGATAATTCTGAAATCTCCCCTTCCAATGACCCTGTAATGCCCCTGTAGTCCACCAGGCAGTGCGCACACTGGACACACTGCATGCACAGTGCTGTTCAATGAAATCCAGTCGCGGCGGCGTCACTCAAGTTTGCGCCCGTTGCACCATTTCGCAGCCCGGTGTTCGCAGTTCTAGGGCTGCGCAACGCCAGGCGCGTACTTGAGTGACGCGACTCGATTTCATTGAGCAGCTCTGTAGTGTAGATCATCATCCTGCACAGTCCGATCTTGACCGGCACTGCAGCAGTATGCTCCGATGCTGGAAAAACATGGTAACTCAGTGCTCACAACGCCACCATGATCTCCTTGCGTGCTGAAGAAAATCAACGCCCAAATCCGCGTATGAGTACGCGTACGTATCATCACCAAGCTTTCCTCTTGTCTCTAGTTGTTGTTGTGTATTTTTTACAATAATTATTGTGTTTAAAAAAAGAGGACCATAAGTAGTTTACAAGTTATCCGTTTTGTCCAACACTAACGATTAAAAGCTGCTGAGGATACTGTTGAGTTAAAATGTGCAACAATTACCGGCACAAAACTGACTGATGTGATGCTGACATTCAACGACCTAATGCTTATACTAGTAATCGTTAGTGTTGGACAAAACGGATAACTTGTAAACTTATGGTCCTCTCTTTTTAAATTTTAATCCTTGGCTCTCCATCTGAGTTTACTGATTGTGTTGCATTGTATTACTAAATCCGCGTACGCACACGTGTAATTCTGTTCAGTGATCACACTACCTGGGCATACCATACTCCTCACACAACGACTGTCATGACCCTACGAGGAATATCAGTCTCAATTTTGGAGGCGAACTTGACAGAACATTGGCAATGGCAATGGCAAAAAGAGAAATTTGACGTGACTTTTTGAAGGTGCTGGCAACGAGATATTTTTAATACCGATTTGTTCAGAAATGACTCATTAGGGAGGTTTCGCTCTACGTAATTACGTATGAAAATCCGTATGTCGTACGCGCCGGGGAGCGAGGGCAACTTTCATACGTAAATCTCTCTACGGATTTCCGTAGGAAAGCTCTTTCCTACGTTGGGTCCTCCGTAGGACTTTTTGAAATATTTTTCGCATTTTCCGCATTTGTCCATGGCAACATTCAAGCCGCGCGAAACACAAGGTACACACACCGTACACCACGTGCAAAATATAATGGAAAACGCGGTTTTGGTTCATGGTGCATGCGGTGGGCGCATGCAGCCAACGCGTCTCCAAAGCAACAACGCACGTTTAGCAGTCGTGGAGAAATCACGTAGAGCGAAACCCAACAGCTCTGATTTTTACGTATGAAAATTCCGTGCAGTTCATACGTTATTTTCATACGTAATTCCGTAGAGCGAAACCTCCCTAATGTTAGAAAATTACGAATCACCTCGTACTCACCATGATGCGTGAACGCGTAGCCGACAGTATGATAGTAGACGTGATCGCCGGGCTTCAGCTGGTCCACTGATACATGGTGGTGAACGTCCACGCCAGCTACAGACATTCCTATGATTTGCTTTTCTCAGCGCACACAAATAATTAAACAATGTAATTGTTGCGAAACTCGTGCAGGAAACAAACGTCCGCTACAAGCCGGGCGTGCAGCCCAAATCACGCAGAACGCTAGCGTATATTTGGTATAACGAGGACTCCGGTCCGCGTGCGCACACGGGTAGGTCACCACGAGCAAATCAAGGCAAATGGCACTAGCAAAATTGCAGATGATTCGCCCAAACGCCAAGGAAATCAGAATGGTAAGTAATAATAATTATTATTAGTTTCTATTAGACTTCGGTCTTTCATTCATGACTTACTACTACATGATTGTAGTGTCGTGGACATGGATATCCGGACGCACGTCTAGCGCGCTAGCGCGGGCCAGTAGCGGCCCCAGGCCTGCAGGGCGCTGGCCATGCAGCCGTGGACGTGGGTACTACAGACCTCGCTTAAACCGCACACATCCGTTTTCCACAAAAAAATGTCCGGATAGGCGAGGGAACCGGATAACCGAACACCGGTTAATATGTAGGATGCATTGCGTATTGTAAAAGCCATTATTCTAACGAGGCGCATATACATATACGTATACACAAGAGAGAGTTTGGAAGCTTTGTCACAACTCCGAGTTTCACGTATCTCTACGATCATCAGGCAACTGATGGATCCAAAACGGGCAGCCAGAACATAAGGGGGAGTATACGTATACATGTACAATCATGTACAATCATGTACATTGCCGATTTCCCAAAATAATTGACTGGTTTACGTGTACCAAAAAGGTAACGATTCTCACTCATTCTCAACGTGGGGATCTCAGCGCGTGAACTGCGCAGCCAGTCTGCGCCGGTGAGATTTTCGATCCCAAACGCGATCCAGTGCAGAAATCGTGGAAAAGAACATTTTTTCGAAATAAATCAAGTTGAAGAAGACAGTAGAAATGGCTGAATATTGCGTCCAGGAAAGCACGTTCTACGGCCATCTCCAAGCTACCTATCTCCCAGACACTCTCTCAGAGGAACTATGGAGGGTCAAAGAGCACAACCTTTCACTCTTGGACGCAGCGTGAACACCTCTTCTACTGAGCGCGATGTCTTCTCTCCGAGTGATAATGGCCGCGGGCGATGTTCGCGATGGCTGATGCACTGAAAATCGAAGTAATAGGACAATCTAGCCGGAGAAAACGTCTGAATTTTTGACTGAATCCTCTCTGAAGTGGGTTCTTGCCGCATGGAAAATTATAGGAAAATCGACCTTGGCCATGCTGTTCTTCGGCGATTACAAAGTATGTTCGAACGACGATGAAGATGACGATTCCGCTAGTGTCCACCGCGTTCCCCAGTGTCGAAAATCGACCGTCGCCATTTTTCTGCTGTGTCCGCGATCCTCCGCGTCCGCGAGCTGCACTCAAAACTCGATGACGCAATGTATGCGCAAACACCCTGCGCACTGCACGCGCTGAGATCCCTACCAACACAGTATCATCAGCCTTGCAAGCTGTTGAATGGTGTAGCACAAGTAATTAGTTAGTTGCTATGTCTATAAAGGGGTCGTCGCGCGCAAAAGTTGTCTGTCGTCCCTGAAACGAACATCGTTCATTTCGTACTCGGACCCCCTCCCCTCCCTCTGAAACGAACACGGCTTGCTATGCTGGACGACGAAAATCGCATGCATGTACATGTGATATGTACAGTGTCGGTCGACTTGCGATTTTGGCTCGCACCCCCTCCCCCCCCAAATGAATCATGTTCGTTTCAGGGACGACAAAAAACTATTGCGACGACCCCTAACAGTAACATAGCTGTTCGCTATCATCGCTTCCGCGATGTAATGCCATGGGCATGTCTGAGGCCGCCTGAGCCTGAGGCCCTGACTCCTGAGCCTGAGGTGTGTGTGTGTGTGTGTGTGTGTGTGTGTGTGTGTGTGTGTGTGTGGTGTGTGTGTGCACAATGACATCATGATACGTGCTATGACGAGAGCTAGCTAGCTAGTCTAGTACTACATGTAGTAGTAGAGGTGCATGCCATTATTGCCATAATCATATGGCCATGGAACCATGTCCATGTCCATGACCCAGGAAGATAGTTGGGAATCCCCCTCCCGGTTTCTATTTCTATTCATGTAAGTCCTTCGTCAGCACTCGACAGCAGGAAGAATACAAGTCTCCGCTCTCGCTCGTTCAGCTAGCCCGCGCTCAACTCAGCTGTTGTATTACCATTACATAGTCAGTAGCGGTAGTTTCGGTGCCTCGAGTATTCTCCACGTCTAGCCTGTACAGAAAAGCAGCCGAGATGAGCTCCAGGAGGGCAGTTCAGACGGCTGTGACTTGGGGAAAGATCCAGAGTCAGAGCTGCAACCAGGCGCACAAGATCGCCAAGAAACCCAAGGCAGTGAATGTTTGGCAGCTTGCTCCAGCGACCAATACAGACGTCGTGGGTTTGAATAAGAGCTCCACGTCTTCCCGACCCGCTGCTGATCTTCGTGTCACGTCACCTGCAACGAATAACAAAGGTAAGGACAGCGGGCATGGGTCATAAGTACCAGTAATTGCAGCGTCAATCCCAAGACAAAGACGAACTCAGGTACTGGTAGATCTACGATGCAAGGGACTCTGTAATCACCCCCTTCTATCGATCCCCATCTGGGCGATTGTTCCTTGTGTCTTTCCGTCATCAGGGTCATAGCGTAGACTGGATCTGAGTACAATGATACTCTAGCCTAGTCTAGGCGATTGTTCCTTGTGTCTTTCACTCGTCGTACACTTGATCTACAGTCCATTCAGAAAAGATGAGCTCTGGCTCTGGACAGCTACCACTACCGTGTTTGGCGATTTGTGGTACAGTGCGGATCGGCTATAGGGTTGTCGGCTATAGTAATATACCTCTTATAGTGATCGTATTCTCAAATTCATTTTCGTAAACCACCCCTTTATACATATCGGATCGGCTATAGTAATAATCGGCTATAGTAATATATCGGCTATAATGATACGATTTCTTTGTCAAAATGATCTTATTCCATACATTTTTCATCGGCTATAGTGATGATCATAAAATATTATACATCGTACATGACGAAATCTGATCGCGGCAGCCAGGAAGCGCTGGTACGACTATGATATACCTCGGAGGAAATAATTCGATATGATTGTTTGGCGTGGGCTGTGCTTGTTGTTCCGGGGCATCCTCGAGCGAGATCGGAGGCAGTAATTAGTACCAGCGCTGAAGCGCTACCGTGGTCTCCGCCGAGATGTTGGAGAAGGCATTCAGGTAACAGCGAAGACGATCAGGGACGCGCAGAAGCTTCTCCGTGAAATACGACTTCACGATCGACCTGCTACTTGGAACGGTGTCAGCGGCGATGAGTCGAGCGATGGCGACCCAGACTGAGACTCTACTCCCACTAATCGATCCTGTAGATATTGTTATGTCGATTGAATGTGTTGAAGTGTTTCTCTTCCAAAAGAACACATTTGTTGAGCACAGCAACTCCATGAAAACTCATGTCAAAAAGTCACGAAGTTTTTGTTTCCGCAGGAAGTAGCTCTGCACAGACTTCAGAGTCAGTCATATGCACAGCACGCGTCTGCACGTTGCACTGATTCGAATGACACCATACACGCATTTGTCAGGCATACCTAAGTATGCATATCGCCTATAGTAATATATCGCATATGAGCCGAGCCAAGCAAAAAGGTGGCTTAGGCATAATTTTTGGAAATTTCTTTTTCCATGCCAAAGCGATGTCTACCTATCCAACTTACTTCCATCAGGAAAATTTTGGTGCCCATCTGAAATGTATATGTGCCATAAATACGTATACATTGCGCACATGTCACAGCATACCTGGTATCAATGACACTAAGGATTTGAAGACCGGCCCAAACTCCCAAAATCATGGGACACCAAGTGGAGACAAAGCTTAGCAGGTGTGGAAGGAAATAGAAGAAGAACGAGCACTTGTGTTCTAATTAGAAGATCCAAAGAAAGAATAAATAATTGATCTATGTATCTCATGTCATTTCTTCACGCACCACGAATTTTCATATCCTTCAATGATGTTGTGAGTCTGTGACTATATTTTAGCTGGGCTGGGATACGTCGCATCTAAGTCTTACCAAGACAGTCCGTTACTCTCTCCGATCACCTATGCCAGCATGAATTAATCCTTTCATGTAGCTCGTAGTGTTGTGCCAGAGATCGAGCTCCATCCGTCCCTTGCACGTACGTGTAGGTCCAGCAGACAGCACATCGCTAAAAAGCGGCACTGATTCCTTGTCCGTCCTAGTCCATGTCATTCTCCTTCCCTGGTGCAGGTAGTGGTAGAAGGCACCACAATAATGCTTACAGGTAGAGTCAATTCGTCGCTTCGTCGTGTGGCACCATTGGCCTTGAAATGAGGAAATTTTGGAATACAGTACGCCACGTCATGAACATTTGAAGGTGCCGAAACAAAGTGAAACATCGCAGCAAGAGCCAACTCACTAGGCAGCTTGTCAGAATGATAGTCGGACGGCTTGTACACGTCTCCCCATAGCTATACTAGCCGCTCTAGTCGTGGCCACGATGAGAAACACGGCCACTATGAATGAGCGAATCTTCCTCGTCAAGTGGGGTTGGGCGCACACGGAGACAGAGTGTCATCCTGCTCACCTCCACATTCTCCAGAACGCTCCATTACGATCTCTGGCAGGGGCAAGAAATCCCCACAACGATGAAAGAGGGAACACTGAAGAAGTGTTGCTCAAAAATAAAAGGCCTCTTTCTTCTTCTCCACTTGCAAACTATTATACTTGAAAGGTTCAAAGGGTGCTCGAAAGTGAATATTTTCGCGACTGCGCTCGAGTAGAATTTTGCCGACTGTGACGTTTTGGTGATTTTCTCGATTTGTTGGCAAAACGCTAAGCCACTTTTTAGCTTGGCGCGGCTCATATAGTGATATTTTCACGAAAATCAAACACCAACGCTATAGCCGATCCGTACTGTACACTGTGCAGTGCCGCGCGCTTCGAAACTTGAAAAAGGGTCCAAAACGTCACCTCAACTGGGGTTCGAACCGCAAATGTACTGTTATGCAAGTGGAGTGAACGGCCTGGATTTTCATGGTTTTCCCACAATTCAGTGCTTTGGGGGCAAAACCTGGCCGAAATCCTATTCTTGTTATGGCTTGCTTTTTGGAGAAATATACTTCAAAAACACAATTGGAAGAGCATTCCGTGGGGGATTGCCAAAAAAATTGTGACGAAAACTCAAAATTTGACCCGTTTATGGCCAAAAGCTAGGATGTCATATTTTTCTTGATGGACTGTAAGCACTCTACAAGTAGTAGTTGTAGAATGTAATGTTTTGATAGGGAAGGCCCTACAGACGTTGCTGTCTTGTTGCAGGGAACCCTAAGTGCTCTTTACAGAGCGAAACAAAAACGGATAGATGCTCAACTTGACGACACGAGACACAAGTCTGTACGGCCATGATCTAGAACAGACTCGGGCGCCATGGCAGGGGCGCAGGCTCAATAAAGAGGTTAAAAATATGCATGTTATTTCTGACGCGAGGCGCAATTTCACGTTAAATTTGGCGTAAAACTCCACATTTCGATGTGAGCGACAGGTCGCTCGCGTTGTTTTCCATCAAATTTTCACCAGTTGTAGTCTTCGGGGTGCTGAGTCGAATGGTCTTGGTCCGAGGAAGCTGAGACGCTCCCTTCCTCCTTTGTTCCCAATCGAACTCGCGCACTTCCACCGAAACTGGGTGACTGGCACTGACTGCGCCCTACTAGATGGGGATTTGTATGCAAAAGTCACTAAAAGTGCCGTTTCGTTCTCATAAAAGCACGGATGACTGCAATTAGGCCATAATGTTGTAGTCTTTTGGTTCCGAGTCGACTGGTTGGTCTGGAAAGGCTGCAATGCAGCGTTCGGACCTTATTCACAATCGAACACGGGTGAGTAAGCGGTCACGTGCTCATGCGTACACCAGCCGCCTGGTCACCATGCCTGCAGGCTACAACTTTCACACCAAGGTTCAACTCAAACATTCAAAGGTTCAAATAGAGTGATAAGAAATTAAAAATTCTGTAAAAGTTGTAGCCTGCTGGCACGATAACCAGGTCTAAACCACATTTCGGTCGCTGAATCTTGCAAAACAAAATTTCGGCCGCAACAAATTTTCCACCAAATATGCCCTGGCCGAAAATAGCTGAAAATAAAACATTTACATGCACCGAATGTTAATTTTATTGACTTACAGACATACGGTATGTAGCTACGCGTTGACGGCGGTGCTTATGTGCCATGGTAGCATGTATTGTATTTTTTTGTTGTATTGTATTTTATTATTTTGCTTCAGTGGGCATTCCCAACAGACCCTAAGGTCTTCTTACAGGGTGCCCAAGAGCATGCATTCGTTAGGCATTGCAATTGCAGTAAACCCTAGTGGCAGAGGGTTTACCGGGTGTTAGCGGCCGCCGTGAGTTCCCTTCGGGAACGGACACGATAATTTACTTTTTTTGCTTTTATTTATTTTTTATTACGATTGCAGTGCACTACTGGTACACTGCAGTCAGAACCGCCGGAAGCAGGTTTCGATTGGTCCGGTAGTATCATGGCCCTTTCATACGTTGTGTATGATGCCATGGGTACACATGCCCTCCACACGGCTGATTCAGACTGCAAAAACCCGTGCACAGCATCTCGGGTTCGAGGCCAGACCAGCAGTCACCGAAGTAGGGGATTTTCCCGTACTCAAGCGTACTCAAGGGCTGAGAAATTTCTCAGGGCCAGGTCTGTACACGAGGCTTCTCGGCCTCACTGAGCGGAGCCTGAGACACTGAAAACAACAAGAACAGCATCGTGTGAGAGTATAGTAGCTGTAGTACAATCGCGTGTAAAAAACGAGTGCTTCTTTCTTCGATCGAGCGACTTTTCAAGCGTTTCTTTTCGATTTCTTACTCCTTGTTGAGCGTGTCTTTTGCTGTACGTAGGCCAGGAAAACTGCCCTGGGTAGCTAGGTAGGGAAGTTTTGGTGGCGGCGAGGGAAGTTTATCTGTATAGCGGAAACCTTCATCTACAAAATACGTTAGTGCCATTGTGATCTGTAGGGTAGTTTTGTGTGCATGGTGTTCTTTCTAACGTCTCTTGTGGCTGAACAATGAGCTCTGATTTCAAAAATTTGAATTTTCACCTTGAGCATGTGGGTATGTTGTGTCGCTTGGGTGGATGTAAACTTCCCAGCCATCGGAGTGGTCGGAAGTCTTGGAGCCCCCCTATTTATCTAGTGAAAGATTATGCATTGCAGATCTTCAATGTTCTAGGTCTCAAGGTAGAAAAGGATGAAAGTGGTGTCCACCCCACACATTTCTGTAGGGCATGCTTACTATTTATCCAGAAGTCAGCAGAAAGTGAAACACCGTGTGATGGTGGTGGTGATGGTAAGGGAGGGGATAATGGTGGTGGTGATGATAAGGGAGGGGATAGTGGTGGTGGTGATGGTAAGGGAGGGGATAGTGGTGGTGGTGATGGTAAGGGAGGGGATAGTGGTGATGGTAAGGGAGGGGATAGTGGTGGTGGTGGTGCTGGTAAGGGAGGGGATAGTGGTGGTGGTGGCTGTAGCAAGGCTCTGCCAAATGTACTAGCCTGGACGCCGCACACAGATGACAAATGCATTGTATGTGGGTGGATTGAGAGTGCAAGAAAGGGAGGTAGACCAAAGAAGGAGAAAATTTTTAAGGGGGCGTGCTTGGTGGATAACAAGAGCCAAAAGACCGGGGAGAGTTTGTTGGGTGTCGATATTGATGAAGCCACACTCTTCGGGCGAGCCACGCCTTCGCATGTATGTACCCTTCCCTTGGTACCTGATAGATTTACCTTTGTACCTACTGGTATTGTTTGTGGCATTTGCTCATTTGTGGTAGACCGGGCTGTCGAGTCGCCATGCTGCAACAAGGTTTTCTGTGCTTTGTGCGTATTTCACTGGCTGCACACAACTGGTACATGCCATGCTTGTGGCAAGCCCGTCCTTCTGTCGCTGTTTGAGGCGCCTCACCCCTTTGTGAGAACTTGTTTAGAGGAGCTGATAGTTGCTTGTGATCATGCTGGGGAAGAAGAATTTGAGGGCTGCCCCAAAACAGTCGCGTTGAAATCTTTGAAAGACCATGTCACTGAATGCCCCTTCCGGGATGGTGCCAATAAGCCCCCTAGGTATCTCTCTTCTTCTTGCACAGTTAGTTCTGTACTGACTGCTGACGACAGTCTTCTGCAGGGTGATGTAGGCACGAAGTTGCTCACGAAGATGATCCATGCCCGTTCATCTGATGGCCGTCTCGAGCAGCCTTCCCGTGGTGGCACCGCAGTCTGGCAACGGATCCCTGTTTGCCGTGTCTCTTCCACGGATGCGTCCCACGCAACTTTACGTCGGAGGGAGAGTGTGCTGGAGGGGATCAGGCAAGTAGCATGTGGGGGTGAGCGGGGCAGTCAAGCACAGACTAATCATGCCCTTGCCACCCTCCGCAAAGAAGAAAGTGAGAACCTTCTGCGTGGGGCAGGATTGTTGCCCAAGGGTATGGAGGAAGGAATTGGCCTGGCCATCAAGGCAGATCTACAACTCCCGTGGAATGGACTGAGGAAACTCAGGCGCTATTTTAAGCTTTGTGGGGTTGCCCTGGAGTCTGAGCGAACTATGCGCAAACAGCTCTCGGAGGAGCTGCCGTTTCCGCTCGTTGCGAAGGAGGAGCCTTTACTTGACAGCTCCGGAACAGTTGTGAGATGCCCCTTGGTCTGTTTCGAGAATCTTGTGGACCTTGTTCTCCACTACATCGAGCTGAATGATCAAGCAGGAACGCTGGTCTGGGATGGTCTTCCTGAGGATGAGTTATGGGTGAAAGTCGGTGGTGACCACGGTGGTCATTCTTTTAAATTTTCCTTTCAATTGGTCAATGTTATGCACCCAAATGCACTGTATAACACGATTCCTTTTCTAGTATTTGCAGGAAAAGACACGCCCGCAAACCTCGCGACAACCTTTGCGCCGTACGCACAACAAATAATCACACTACAACAAACAGAATGGCACGGAAAGCACATTAAAGTATCTCTGTTTGGAGACTACGACTTTATGATGAAGTGCTATGGTTTGTCTGGGCCAAGCGGAGTCCGCCCTTGCCTCTATTGTCTCTCAACAAAAACAGAAATGCAATCCCAGGCAGCTGGCCAGCATGGAGAGCGCACGTTGGAGGGCCTTAAAGCCGACCATGCAAGCTTTGTTGCATCTGGCAGCAGGCTTCAGCATGCGAAGCACCACAACAATGTAATCCGGCCATTTGTTGTGCCGATTGAAATCAGAGATGTTTGCGTGCCAGTTTTGCATCTAGATTTAGGAATTTTCCCTTGGCTTTTTGATGCAATGGTAAGAGACGCTGAAGAGCTGGATCTACAGCTAGCGAAGTCACTCTTGACAATACAGTCAAGCGCTAGCTTTAACGAAGTTGCAGCAAAACAAAAGCAGCTGCACACCTTGTATGAAACAAGGGCAATCCAAGAACACAGAGCACAAGAAGCTCAAGCTCAGCTGCAGTGGCTATTGCTAGCTAACCAGCAATCCGGTGTGAACCATCAAGCTGCAGCACTCTTTGCTGCTCAGGCAGCTGCACTGCAGCACCATTGGGGAACACTCCAAGAACAGCTCCAAGCCACCGTCAAAGACGTAACGCAGCTGGAGCAAGATCTGACTGCCGTGAAAGTCAAACTTGGTCCGTGCTCCTCTTCTTTCGAGCCGACCTTGTCACGACACAGAATCGACCGACAAGCTTACCACTCTGGAGCTTTTGTTGGAAACCATGTCCACAAGGCTCTGCAGTCCGGAGTTACTGCAGACATTGTGTCTTCTCCATTGCGTACTCTCCACGCCATAATGAATCCAGATGGCGTTCCGCTTGTGCATACACAGAGTCAGCATGATCTGCTGCAAGCCGCTGAGACGATACGCCAACGCTACGCTCTACTTTTCACATCCTACGCAAGCTGCAGACAAACATTCTCTTCAACACAGCTTGTTGATGATGACATGTTGTCATCCCTTGGCTTGAAAGTCAAAGACTTCTTGTCTGTTGTACGAAGAGAGGTAGTCACTCGCCACAAGCGGCCCATCACGCCCAAGCTCCACATCCTTGAACACCACCTTGTGCCGTGTATGAAGCACTTTGGTGTGGCGCTCGGAGCTCTTGGAGAGCAAGGTGGTGAATCAATACACCACAAATTCAACCTCCTTCGCTCTGGCCTGCAGAACACAAACAAAGATGTTGACCGTCTAAAGGTCTTGGTCGTGCAGTATCTAACAACCACACTGCCGACACACAATAAGCTAATAGCTCCTCCAGCTAAAAGGAGAAGAAGCACTAACACCAGTGCTTAATTTGTAATGCACAACCATTGCAGTATTAAAGCCAAGGGAAAATTCCCAAATCTAGCTACCTATGGAGAAATGAACTGTTTTGTCGCTCACAACATCAGAGCGGGTGGTGGCGGGCCATAGGTAGGTAAACATTATCACTCTGATACATTCAGAAATCATTTGAACAGCAAAACTGTAACTTCAAACATGAGACAAAAGTCAAATACAATGCAGCGATTCAATTTAAAATCAAAACTGTTCTGCACCACTGAAATCGAATTTACTACTTCTTATACTGCACCTTCTTTACTGCTGATGTTCAGCCACTGTGCAGATCCTGCTGTGCTAGCCTTGTGATCTCATATCAGAATCCAGCCAGAATAGAACAGCAGCTGCATGGGAGCATGCCTGTCCCAGGCCCGCCATGCAGATGCAGTGTGCCAACAGAACAGCACCAGAAAGGGATGGACTTGTCAGAATACTCAAGCGAGTGTCCACGAAAATTCTTTGCTTCCTCCGGCCAGGTTGAGAATCACGTGCACTGATTCAGCCACCAGGTGGCATGCGTCAACACATCTGTCAAGAGATTTTCTGGTAGCTAAACTCTAAACTAAAGGACCGTACAGTTCAGGTGCTGAGCACGTGCAGGCACTACAAAACTTTCCTCGTCCACAGGCAAGTAGAGGACAATGCACTGTTACATGAGCCGTAATAATATAATACTAGAACTTGAACTACAATTGTAGAAGTAATAACAATAGTTCCAGCACGAAAATGATGTTGTGTCGAAGAACGGCATAAACCGAAGAGTCACTGGGTCTGGCAGATGTCGCCTTCATCTTTTATCGAAACTCCACGTCAAGACAGCGAAGACTACACTTCAAAACCACTTGACTTGGCCTACAACGAGACGAACTCCAAACACCTCGACAATGTTTTTTTGTAGCTCTGTAGCTCTTTTGGCACCAAGCAAAAAAATTGTTCCTTGCACTGCGTGTAATCTCTGGGTGGGCACCGCCAAGGCGTTAAAAAGGTGGATTTTTACCAAAAATGTGTAAAAGGACGCCATCTTGCCTTTTGGATCACGCGAAACAGCCGTGTCCACAGCAGGCAACACGTGTTGGTGGCCGAAAAGTTGGTCCGGTGATAACCTGAGCAACCGGACCGAGTCCGGCCGGCCTGACTACGCATGCGCGCGGCCCATGTACAGTGCAGCTAGCATAGCATAGGCCGGATTTTGTTGGCGACGACTGTTGCATTTTTTTGTGTAGGGCAGCCCGGCTGAAAAGTCCTACCACTCAGTCATTGCCAGTCGGTGCAATTCTGTAGTCCATGTACATGTATGTATCAACTCATTTAAAACTCTCGACGTAATTACCGGTATGTTGCCTCCTGATGGCTACCTTTGAGCTTGAAACTCTGCTGCGATACGTATGTTGTTCCGTCGGATCTTCACTCGTTTTGTTGGAGGGTCACAGCTGGATCGAAATAATCATCACGAATACTGTATTGAATGGCGAACAGAAAAATTCATTCGTGAATTGTCGATCCAGCTGGCTCTATTGCTCTAGTGATTGCAACTTTCAAACTACTGTCGTCTTGCCGTTCAATTAAAAATATTCTGTTCTGATTGTTCACATGTTTTTCGTGTTCCTTTTCTCACTGTGTCTCTCTCTCTCCGTGCACAGACGGCATGGAAGCCTTAGTCGGAGTTGGTATGGCAGCGGCAGGCGCAGCCACAGCTGTAGTGGCCGCCCCGGCTGTTGTAGCCGCGGTTGGCTTTGGTACGGTCGGCATTGCTGCCGGTAAGCATTACCACAATGGACACTCTTTGCACGCGGCACACATCTTAGCGATGACCTCAGTGACTTTAATAGTTTACACTCACACCTCGTTTATCCGGGCGGTCTGGGACCGGGCACACTAGGGAATAGTCATATTCCCACTGGAACTCGCATAAGGGGTGTCCGGTAGACCGAAGTGCACGTAAATTCAGTGTCTCAATAAGCTAGGTACTGAAAGTCTACAAATTTTAGGCCCATTTCAAATTTCGGCCTCCCACGGCTAGAACACATTTCGGCCCATTCAAATTTTCGGCCTGTACTGCTGCTGCCTGTGTACACTGTCTCACTGAACCATGCTAAACAAATTTCGGCCGAATATGATCAGTCCGAAAATAGCCGAAAATAAATATGCGTTGAATATTTGTGTGTGGGTACAGTGAGGGCTGCGTCCCACCCGCCTGTGTGGATTCACAGGAAGTGTGAGTTACGAAGTCTGAAGAAAATGTTGAACAGTCTCTGCTGGGATGACGACTACACCATAGCTCAGTGGTTAGAGCATCGCTAGCTACAAGCGAGGGTCCCTGGTTCGAGTCCTGGTGGTGACAGTCAATTTTTTCTTCAGACTTTTCCCGTTTGTCTCTTTCCCTCAAACTAGTGAATATTTGTTTACTTACAATATGAGAAACCTGTCTAATCCGACCATTCAAGGGACCTTACACAATTGTAATGTGGTCTTCGTGTACAGGTGGTCTCCTTATCCAGGGTTATTTTAGACTGTGAGCCAGGCACCAAAAATCCTGTTAGAATTTTTTTCGTTCCGACCTTGAGCGTACCGCAATTTTTTTCCCCAGTTCGTTTCATCTACTCGACTAGATTCGCATTCAGCTTGTTGTCACTTCCAAATCAGGCACGAACATGCCCAACTAGAGGGGAGAAACTACTTTGACCAAATCAATAGCCGCCATCGACAAGAACCAAGGTCACAAGAGCCGGAGCGGACTCCTGTTGCACCACTGACCCCGCAAAGTGTACGGTGGTGCAAACACAGCCGCATCATGACGATGGTTTTTTGTGGTTTCTATAATATTGTGTGCAGCGCTAGTGCAGCGCAGTGGTAGTACGTACGCCGGACATCATCATGTCCATCAGTGTGCTTGCTGCTGATCAGTCAAGCTAAACTAAAGTTTTTGTTATCTGTTAGAGCAGAAATAGAACGTCAGGGCTCACCACGACCATACAAAGCGTCAATAACGGTCATTTGGATTTGACCAATCAGCGCACAGCAAAACGGGCTGTTTCTTGCAATTGTGGGGTGTTTTCTGAGTGGAGCTTGGCTGTATTCGTTGGTTTTAGACATTAGGCCATTGTGGATTCGTGTTCAGAAGGTGTGTCTTTGGGGGGTTACCGTCTCGAATTTTTCGATTTGGCCTTCGTTTGGCTGAGATCGGATGGTGAAATCACTCAAACGCGAAGGCGTGCAAACAAGTGAATGAAGAGAAAATTAGAAATCGGGGACGGTAAACCGATAGAGAATTCCAAGACCTTGAAAATGAGCTATCGATGATGAGAATCGGCCAAGGAGAACCGCTGTTCTACTTTTTTGAAGACATCAAGGTCGGCCGTGCGTCGCCGCGCGCACCAACAAAAACTGGCAGCCGTGCGCATATCTGCAAGTGCAACAAGAAAGGGCGGAGGAGACAGCAAGCGTTCCAAGTGAAGAGTTTACCTTCGTGTTGACTCAAGCTAAGGACTCATGCCAGTCAGGGATCATACTAGTCACCTCTCATCATGGTCATGACTTAGGGATTCATTTGTGACAAGGAAACTCCCCACTCGCAGCGTGAAAGCTGCGAGGCCAAACAGAAAAGAGTGTGCCGAGTCGCGATCAGGAAACGCTGAGTTCTACTGACAACATTGGTTAGCTAGGCGCGGCAAATTCTTGTAGATGCCAGGACTCAAGTTCACCAGTACCCCATGGACATATCTTGGTCGACACCCACCAGCGGATTGAGAAAAATGACCAAGATTGCTTGGAGAAAGGACGTCTTCTCCGCGTGTCTTTCTCGACATCAAACAACAAGATTCGCTTCAGCACTGGCCCTTCGCTGTACAGAGTAGACCAGGAAGTCGTAAAATACCGGTATTTTACGACTAGACTGTACATCGCTGTACATCGATGAGCATGAACTCGGGTGCGTAGCCGCTATGACTGCACAAACTCTGGCTTGGGCGGCATTCAAAATGGTGGTCGACGCTTTTTGAATTTTGTATGGTCGTGGTGAGCCCTGAACGTACATGTACACAATGTACCTTATCTCCGGAGAGCTAATACATGTAACTGTTTTCTAATAACTGTTTCTATCTTTCATATTCTTTCAATCAAATGAACCCCTCGATAGGCACATTGCCTTTGGGTCATTTCATAATAATAATAAAATACTGAAGTGCTTCAGACTATGATTAACATGAATATGCATGTATCTTTCCGCTTGCGTTCTGTACATACAGTACAATGGGTAATGTTTCCAAATAATTACATGTATAATGCAAATAAACTACAGATCGGTATCTACCGGTATACACGCTGTATACACGCATAGATCAGATATACGAGTGCAAATATACAATCATGTATCCAGCAACTTCTTTAACATTGTTCTGCCATATTGTACATGTACAATATGTATATACATGTAATTATAGAGATGTAGAGGTGTAATGAGCATTGCACCGGATTAAACCAGATCCCCCTGGTTGTTGTTGATGGCCTTTTCCAACCGCTTTCCGGAGAATTCGCTGCTGCTGGGCTTTGTATATTGAATGCCACCTGTTTGTTCTATACATTATCATTGCTGAAATGCATTTCTTGGTTGTAGGCACCATTTCACTTACCTACCAGTGCATCGTCACCTCGAGTAATATTTAAAATGTGCACGTACTTTATACAATGCACTTACAAGTATAAGATACATGTACATTGTACATGTATGCGTAATTCTATAATTTTTGGCTCATATAGTTATTTTAATCCAGCTGCAATGACGCTTGACCTGTACATTTCTTCGTCCAGTGCTGTCGCCTGTTGAAAAAAGTAAGAAACACCTTCAAAATAGCATGTTGCTATGCCAGTTGCTATGGAAACGGGGTATGTTAAGATAATCGCTTATTTTGACTTCCCTGCAAGCTTCCCAAACTGACAACAATCAAAAATGATCTTCTTTTAGGTCTCTCCCCATGATAAAAGAAAAAAATCGCGGTACACCCAAACTTGGCTCACAGTCTATTTGACTAGGAATAACATCCCTCTGTCTGTGGTGTACCCGTGTACATCGTACATACTTGCACTCTCATGTTTCTTATTATGCTACTGCATCTCCTTGCATGGACGTGCGTACAACCTTACAGCATACTACTCTTGATACTATGCATGCATGTGTGTACTCCGTGCCCATAATCGGCAGTGCATGTCTCTTGTTGCTGTTCAGTCTTTCCTTGGTAGTTTTCCTGACGAGTCGTCCTCTCTCAGTCCTTCGCTGCATTATTCTATTTCAATATAACTAATCATCACATAGACTTGATAATACCACATGGCGCAGTGAACTTGTTTTAGTAGCAGTTTTCATTAGTCTTTCTCAGGTCTGGGTCTTGCTAGTAGATCTACCTCTGGCGCTTTGTCTCTCAAATAAAGTGAAATTATTTGAAATTTCCGTTTCGGCATGGCGGACTCAGACACACCAGTGCTACCCACGGATGTCAGCCCTGACATTCCTGCCCTCACCCAGCTCATGAGACGGCAGATGGAGACCGCCGCCACCCGCGAGCAACACCTGACACAGCTCGTGGAGCGAACTTCTGGCTGTGGTTGCCCTCTTAGACAGGTGGTTGCCCTCTTAGACAGGTGGCTGGCCTCTTAGACAGGTGGTTGCCCTCTTAGACAGGTGGTTGCCCTCTTAGACAGGTGGTTGCCCTCTTAGACAGGTGGTTGCCCTCTTAGACAGGTGGTTGCCCTCTTAGACAGGTGGTTGCCCTCTTAGACAGGTGGTTGCCTTGACAGGTTACACGTAACCGCAATGGGCGTTCTCCGCATGACACAAATCTTAGCGATCACCTCAATGACATCCAAGTCCTTCCGCAGTGAACGTGAAGTTTTCCAGGAATTTGCTGTGACATCAGTTTATCGTCGATTGTCAAGAAAAGTGATGGAAGAATTTGCTGTGACTGTTCCTTCAACTCCCGTTATCTTGCGCAAATTACCTCGTATGATCCACTGCCATATGGAACAGTTTCTTACATGTGTAGCGTTATTTTCAGCTACCATATTTCCCCGAATATTAGTCGCACCTTTTTACACTAAAACTCAAGGGTAAAAAAGGGGGTGTGACTTACAATCGAGCAAGAGTTACTACTGAAGCGAATTGATCGAAACATGATTGCTCAAACCTGAAAATGGAGGTGCGCCTTATAATCGAGTGCGGCTTATAATCGAGTGCGGCTTATAATCGAGTGCGGCTTATAATCGAGTGCGGCTTATAATCGAGTGCGGCTTATAATCGAGTGCGGCTTATAATCGAGTGCGCCTTATAATCGAGTGCGCCTTATAATCGAGTGCGCCTTATAATCGAGTGCGCCTTATAATCGAGTGCGCCTTATAATCGAGTGCGCCTTATAATCGAGTGCGCCTTATAATCGAGTGCGGCTTATAATCGAGTGCGGCTTATAATCGAGTGCGGCTTATAATCGAGTGCGGCTTATATTTGAGTACGCCTTATAATCGAGTGCGCCTTATAATCGAGTGCGCCTTATAATCGAGTGCGCCTTATAATCGAGTGCGGCTTATAATCGAGCGTGGCTTATAATCGAGTGCGGCTTATAATCGAGTGCGGCTTATAATCGAGTGCGGCTTATAATCGAGTGCGGCTTATAATCGAGTGCGGCTTATAATCGAGTGCGGCTTATAATCGAGTGCGGCTTATAATCGAGTGCGGCTTATAATCGAGTGCGACTTTTAATCGGGGAAATACCGCATATGTACTGCACGGTGGTGGAAGAGTGATGCAAGACATACTGAAAATGATCTTCTTTGCCCGCATTGTCTTCCTGTCTGCGTGCCAGCCTGTCTTAGAAAATCTTGATTTTCTGCACAATGACATACAGTTGCGCTCGGTGAAATCCGACCCAAAGTGCAAAGCTGGCACCCTGTGCCGGTTCTGATTACATGAATGTATTTGAAAATGTGCACGTCCAGCCGCATTAGTGCCACTTCCAAGGCGTCAATGGCTGTGGATGTTGAGGTCGCCAAGTGTGCAATCTGGGTAGGATTTTGACTGAGCACAGCTGTTCCGGGAAAAGTCTATTTCGAAGATTACCCGCATTGCCCGCTACTTTTCGTAGTTTTGAGCACTCTGGCGTTAGAGCGACGAGCTATCTTAATGTCTGTGGTGCCTCCTTTGCAACATGGCTGGTAGCTCTGCCTATTTAGCTCGTAGCTGTACTGATGAGGTCGTTATGGCCGAAACAGCTTGCTGTGTACAGCATTGGGCATTCAGAAGATGATAAATACTGCAGGATGTCGACTGTAGACAGCTGAAGCACACAGGGCTAGGGACGAGTACCGTTACTGTTGTGTGTGAAAACATTTCGGCAAGTCAATATCTTCTTCTAAATGTGTGTCTGCCTGTCTGCCTGTCTATCCCTCTGTCTGTCGGTCTGTCTGTCCGTCCTTGCGTCTGTCCGTCCGTCTGTTGTCTACCTGACTGCACCGTCTCACTTTCCAGGGTCGGTTGCCAGCGGTATGATGTCGGCATCTGCCATTGCCAGTGGCGGTGGTGTGGTTGCAGGCGGTGCTGTTGCCGTCCTGCAATCGGCCGGGGCTGGTGGTGCAGGTCTGGTGCTGGTGAAGGGAGTGGCTGCGGCCACTGGGGCTGCGGTGGGCGCAGGTGCCGCAGGTGTTGCTGCTATCGTCGGATGAGGTAGAGATGCTTGTTGTCTGCAGTAAGCCGCTGAGCTAGCTATTGTTCATGAATGTGTGTCTCTACCACCTGCACGTCTTCACACTGTTCTCATTGTCCATGCTGCCTTTGCCAGTATACTGTATGCTGTGAAAGTTGCGGATCTTCTCTTTCCCCCTGTTTTTGGCAGTAATAATGATTCTAAACGTTTGGAAAAACATAAACACAATACTCAAATCCCTCATACTTATTCACGTGTCTTGCATCCTACAAAGTGTGTCTTTAGCTCTTTCATCATGGAAGACACCTTGCTGCCGAAGAAGTTTCAACCACATTTCCATAAAGCATATTATTATGGTCTTCCAGCACTTTGTCATTCCTTTCTCTTTTTGTTGTGAAGTCAAGTTCATCTCCTCTGTCACACAGTCTGTTTTGCTCCAATGTAATCTCCTCCCTGCAGCGCATTTCCATATCACCAATCAAACTTATAATTATTAGCATGAAAGTCTGATACCTTCTTCTCTGTAGTCTGCTGTCTTCTTCTGCTACACCCCATCCCCTTTCCCCTATTTACGATGCCTGATCGCAACGCCAACACTGAGACCGCTGATCGGTCGAGTTGCTCTCGGTCACGGAGTCGTAAAATACCGGTATTTTACGACTCGGTATTTTACGACTCCCTGCTCTCAGTACATCGCCATGTCGTCCCTGCATCCCTTTTGTCTTCAAACGACCCACGTGCTCTTTGCTAGGTTACGACCAATCAGCAGCCTCGGAGAGCGGGCCTTGATTTCAAAGCCCGCTGTCAGGGGCAACCTGTACGACCAAACCATCAAACCCCCTGATCATGCCAATCTCAGTCTTTTCGAGGTGCTCTGGCTATATTAAAGAACAAAAAACTGATAGGGGCGGTGGTCGGGGATGCGGTGGCTCTCAACTTGTGGAGTTTGAAATCTAGTTCCAGCACCGCAGAACTCTCAGCAGTATTCAGCCCGAGCAAAGTGGGTACATGTATGCTCGAAGTAAAAAATTCCAAGCCGTTCAGCCAGGTCTGGCTCATGTCACGTTGCCACGGTTGTAGTCTTGAGAAATTTCTCACGAAACAGGTTTATCGTCCACTCACATGACTTTCCCTTTCCTGGAATCTCTGTGTAAAACTTAAGGCTGAAATCCGAAACGAAAGGCCGACATTGTCCACACTCGAGATCACAGAATAATACGATTCAAAATCCCAAAAAGTGTTGGGGATCGTCTGAAACATATTATTCAAGCGAGGTACAGTCGGGCTTGATGACTGATCAAAGCCCTCGGGCCCAGCAACGCTAAAAGGAAAGCAACCCCAGAGATGAGGGTGATACCCAGCCATGGCGAAACTGAGTACAAGAAAAGGAAAATAAAATGGAAATGGATAATGCGACAGCAGCTAGTAGGCATGCAGCTGAGGCTCCCACAAGTGAAAAGGAAGGCTCATAATGTTAACCTTCCTCAGTGTCATTAGTTGTTCTCTTCATACATGTAGTTCAACAAGTACCTATGCAATAAGTACCTATGCAATGGATATTTTGTCATTCATTACTCTGATGATGAGCCAGGCCCGGACATTTGGTGTAATGTAAATTTGAATCGCAGTCAGTGAAGAGACCGTTTCTGGAGTTTGGAGTTGAGAAGTTCCTGAATGTCTAAGTGGCTGCGTTGGAGTTTGCGGACAATTAGAAAAGCACATAACGCAATTTTAAACTCGGATGTTGAGCCAATAATAAATGTAGAAAGGAAAATTTCTCTCAACTCGTATCCACATGCACATAATGAAGGCTGTCTTTATGTATAAGAGGAAGCTACAAGGCAAGGGGACACCTGGCACTCTACATGATTGAACTACAGGAAATAACCAGGTCAAATACCACTCACAGGTCTTATACCACTCACAGGTCTCATACTACTCACAGGTCTAACACTACTCACAGGTCTAATACCACTCACAGGTCTAATACCACTGCACCCTAGTCTTGCATACAAAGCAGAAGGTCACAAGTAAAGATACTATCAAGATGTGCGGCATCACACAGTCCACAATAATTATAAGTCGTCGACTCAAATTGAGGATACACACTGTGTGCAGTGCAGCCTGCTGGCTGCGTATCAGGCGACAATGGATGACAGTTGCCGTTGTTGACTAGCACGAGGCTGTGCTGGGGATGCTATTAGGATACTACTCGTAGGGTGTGCATCAACCCGCAATGGATGACAGTTGCCATGGTATCAACCCGCAATGGATGACAGTTGCCATGGTATCAACCCGCAATGGATGACAGTTGCCATGGTATCAACCCGCAATGGATGACAGTTGCCATGGTATCAACCCGCAATGGATGACAGTTGCCATGGTATCAACCCGCAATGGATGACAGTTGCCATGGTATCAACCCGCAATGGATGACAGTTGCCATGGTATCAACCCGCAATGGATGACAGTTGCCATGGTATCAACCCGCAATGGATGACAGTTGCCATGGCATCAACCCGCAATGGATGACAGTTGCCATGGCATCAACCCGCAGTGGATGACAGTTGCCACGGTATCAACCCGCACTGGATGACAGTTGCCATGGTATCAACCCGCAATGGATGACAGTCACGCCATTGTATATACCCGCATGGGGATGCGCAAGACGTGTATGCCGGCCATGCACTGCGACTATCAGCGTATCAACCGACAATGCTAGCCGCAACACCGTTGGGTAGAGACTATCAGCGTATCAACCGACAATGCTAGCCGCAACACTGTTGGGTAGAGGCTATCAGCGTATCAACCGACAATGCTAGCCGCAACACTGTTGGGTAGAGACTATCAACGTATCAACCGACAATGCTAGCCGCAACACCGTTGGGTAGTCTCACCGCTGGTCTCCACCACCCGAGGTCGGACGGCAGTTGTATGCTATGCTCATCTGCACTTGCCTCATCGTACACCGTTAGCAGTGAGCGCTTGCAATCCACTGTGAATATCAGCAAGCCACATACTGGCGACGTGACCTCTCCGGTCCGTGACGGGCTGCTTGCTGCGTTAGGACCTGTCGAGGAGGGCGGAATTGAAGCGGTCCCACTCGACGACAGTGTTGGCGGTGGCGGTGATGGGGATGACAGCGCTGATGATGCGTTAGTACCTGGCGAGGAGGGTGGAATCGAAGCGGTTCCACTCGGCGACAGTGGGCGCGGTGGTGACTTCAGCACTGGTGATGCAGTCGACACACCGGACAGTGTGATAGGCGATGTAGGTGACGCCATCCCCGCTGCCGCTGTTTCCTTTAACCACCATACTGGGGAACTGCCGGCGGGTGAAGCTTTCCACTTTGAAGGTTTGTCACTGGATACGGGAGAACTGTGTTCAGGTGAAGCTATCCCTGAAGCTCTGCCGCTGGATACTGGGGAAAAACTTGCAGGCGAAATTATCCCAGCTGATCCTCTATAGCACGACACCGGGGACAAACTTGAAGGTGTCGCTTTCAGCCGTGATGCTGATGCGGATGCTGTAGGCGTGTGTTGCAAACCTTTGGATGATGGTGGTGAGGACAACGGCGATGACAGGTGAGGTTGAAATTCGGACGGCTGGCCGAAAGGCATGGAGCGAGGCACTGGTGTTGGCGACATTGCCGATGCTGTCAGTGAGCTGGACTGCACTCCTGGACTGGATGCTGGGGTTGCTTCTGGTGGGGTTGCTGGTGTTGCTGCTGCTGCCTTTACCGCTGCTGCCACTGACGTTGTTGCTGCTGTTGGTGTCGCTCCCTTGCTTGATGGTGTGGAGGCTGGTTGGAACAGCGGCGGTGCCTCCATTGCCCATTTCAATACAGGGAGCCGACCATGGATGCCGGTCCTGGCAATGGCAAAAATTGAACTCCCACGGCTGCCACCGCCCGGGCCGACACTATGATCACGGCCCATGTCCTCCCCATCGTAGCCGAAACAACCATCGGCCACCGGCTGGTCGATGGTGAAGAGAAACTCCTTGGTTTTCTGCGGCCTGTCTGACATCTGTGTCTGTAGTACATTGCCAGGGAGCAATGAGGCCCGCACTATGCCTGCCTCCACGCACCCAACACCCAACGCAGCAGCAGCAGACTCACGGGCTGCGCCGCGCGAAGGCCAGTGAAGCCGCAACGCCCACGTGGACTTGTCCGCGTAGCCGACCATACCACAGAAAACGTTAGCTAGGTCTGGCGGGTCGACATGACCGACCGCCGTAGTCCCATTGTTCATGCTCTCCCAGCCTGCACTGTCAGGGAGCAACGCCTGCGACAGCATAGGTTCAAACCGGAACGCCGGGACACGATAGGCCAGGATTTTAGCTTGGCCACACCTGGCGATCGCGCTGCCATTGTACTGGACACGGATGTCGAAGACGCCAATGCGCGGCGGGGTGAAGGTAATGCGCACCGCGTCCAGCGCAACGAACAGCAAGTCATTGCGTCTGCCGTCCCCAGTCGATGATGTCATGTTGTCGGAGGTGACGGCACAGTGGGTCGGCTGAGTGTCCCAGTAGTGGATGTGTAATTGCCGCAGGCAGGGCGAGTTGCCTAGTGCTACGGCTGATGTTGCTGCTGCTGGTGACTTTTTCCCTGAGCGCACACCGGCCTTCTGCAGTACCTGAAGACCACAGCCGCGTGCGCACATCATTCACACACGCACGCACACACACACACACACACACACACACACACACACACACACACACACACACACACACACACACACACGTACACACAAACACACATCCATGAAAAACGCACACATTCACATATGCACGTACACACACATACACACCTTTTGACTTTTCGATGCCCACCGCGCCATCATGCGCCGTGACACAGAAGCATGATTCGAATAGAAGCCTCTCTCGGCAAAGTACACGTGCAAGTACGTACGTGACAGTATGCACTGCACAGTGTAGACTGATCATGTTGACGTAGAAGCATGTTTTCAAGAGTGCATAAACAAGAGTATGCAACTGTGGTTATGGGCCAGTACGCGGCGCGCTGCCTTCATTACGTAACTTGCCTCCATCACGCTCTGAAAGCATGCACTCAAACCCACAATTTCTCGTACGAGCCCATCCGTTTTTGCTCGATTCATTCCAGTACCTATGCGATCTCTAAATTTTGGCGCGTGAACTCCAGTTCCGTACGAAAACTCATTTCAAACCAGAGGGAAAGCGTAGTGTTTGATTTTCCGCAGTGCGCGGACTGCAGCTGAATGATGTAATGAAGGCAGCGCGCCGCGCATCTGGCCCATAGAAAAGAGATCACAGTTGCATACTCTTGTTTATGGACTCTTGATGTTTTGAATAGATCTTTTGCGCATTGTACAGATGTACGTAGTTCAGTACTAGGGCGTAGGTGTGTACAGACCCGGCTGGGTGTTCATTGTGTGCTAAGCATGCGCATTCGACCAATTTTAGCCTCATCAATGAGTCATCATTAATGGCAAACAATCCCTTTTCCAGCTTCTTCACTTTGGTTAGTACTAATGACTTGTAGCTAGATCTTTGTCAGAAAAGGTTTTCGTTTGAAATGCCGTCAGGGCCCATTTCTTAGTGGAAATAGCAGAAAACACAATAGGGTCCTGCACATTCAACACCCATTAAGTTCTACGGGATTCTACGAGATTCCGTGCATCCCGTACAACGCGCAAAAGGCTTCAAGAAGCATGTTTTGAATAGAAGCATGGCTAACCTCGGCTTATACGGCCATAAGCACCTGCTTTTATACACGACATTACGGAACCCCGGGGGTTCAACATTTTTTATCTTATGATGCGTATAACCTAATATCCGGACGCGAACGTACGCGTTTCAGGTGCCAGGGGATTTTCGATCATCCTCTACTCGTATGAGGTTTGTCTTATAACCGATATCGTACTAACGTACTAACGAGGGTAGGCCTGTGTTTGTCTCCAACATACGCAGCACTGGTTTTCACTGGCCGAAATTCGAAACACAAATGTGTTGCAGCTTGCAATCCAGCATGACACAGCAGTTACTATTCAAACGAATACCCTGAAAGAATATGACACAGACCTGAAAAAACACAATAGGGCTTTAGGGGTAAGACTTAACAGTGAGTGTGACATTACAGGGACAATACTGCACAGCCGTGTGCGAGACTAAAGGTCGCAACACTAGGCGCTGCATCACAGTACCTTTTGTTTCGTCTCTTTCTGCTTGTCTCCGCCGAGCCCTGGAGGTTTCAGTCCGCCAATACTGCTTGATGCATTGCTCTCGAGAGCAGAGGTTGATGGTGATGGTTTGGCTGCCATCGTCAGCAGTGTACCAGGGTTTGCGACAGCTACGGGCGCTGTTGATTTTGCTGTTGTTGCCATGGTGACGTGCGAACTGGTCGCCTGCAGTGGAGTGGTCGTCTTGGTAACCGTTCTGCTGCTGGTAGCTGAACCGGCGGTAGTGAATGCAGATGCAGCCAATGTAGTTACAGGCGGTGCCCGTGATGCTGAATGAGCTGCTGCTGGTGCTGCTGATGCTACAGCTGCTCTTTTTGCTTTTGCTGGTGCTGCTTTTGCTGTTGCTGCTGGTGCTGCTGCTTTTGCTGCTGGTTTTGCTGCAGCTTTTGTTGCTACTGTGGCTGCTGCTTTTGCTGCTGCTGCTGCTGCTGCTGCTGCTGTTATTTCTGTTGCTGCTGCTGTTGCTGTTGCTGCTGGTATTGCTGCTGCTGCTGCTGCTGCTGTTGCTGAGGTTGGTGTGGTTTTCGCTACAGCTGGACTTGTGGCAGGCGTTGTCTTGGTCACTGCAGTTGCCCCGCGTCCGATCGGGGTCAGGCAAACGTCGCGTCTGCCTGGAGAGGCGCTCGTGACAGTCGCAATGGAAGGGCGAGTTGAAGGTGATGGAAACGTCGTGCTAACCGAATGCTTTGCGGGGCTTAAGGTCGTGGATACGCGGTCAGCCTGGGACATAAGGGGTATAGACAATGGCTGCGCTTTACCAGTGGCTGTGTCGAGACCTTTCCCATTCGCAGACCCTTTGGCCGCTGTGGAGCCACGAGTGGTGTCAGCTGAAGATTCTGCGAGCTTTGCAAAGCTACATGGGTTGTTGCCAGGCGATGCACCGGTTGCCTTGGTCTCCGCGAACGCGGCAGCACCTCCTGCGGTGTACTCAGCACGAAAGTCAAACTTAGACTGTCTCGGCGGCGGGGCGCTTGATTGCAGGCGTACGGGTGAAAGCTGTGCTGCACTTAGTCGCGTCGTTCGGCCGCTCAGCTCCACAACGTCCAATGATATGGCGTTGGGGTCCAGGGGAGCAATACTGCCTTCCAAGAGTGTGTCGATGTCTGAGCGCATGCTCAAACTGAGGGTGATCTGCACGTCCCTGTCTCCGGTGCTGAGCGAACACGACACTCGCCTGAAGTCACTGCCTTCTTCACCGATGCTGCTGCCATCGCCACCACCACTGCTGTTGCTGCTGTTGCTTGGTGACACAGTACACTCCGCTGCGAGCAGTTCCGCCGGTTGCGGGGCGGCTTTCCTGTGCACACTACCAGAGCCACCGCGTTGGCCGCTTCTTGGACTGGGCGTCGGGAAGTTGCCAGTAGCAGAAGCGGAGGACATGGGATCATGTGCGGCTCGTTTGTCCACGCGCACTGCTGCAAGTATGCCGCTGGTCAGCACATGCTGGGTGATGTCGTGATCGCTCACGAAGCCCAGGGTGCGCGGTCGCACCCCTCGCTTTTCCAGCGCTCGCACTTTCCCGTGTCCTGCTTCCACGGCCTGCTTTAACCACGGCGAGGCGGTCAGGAAATCGGCATCATGTGCCGCCGCCGACACCATTGCATCAGCAATTGACGCCACTCGTCGTGCTGCCGCTACCCCGTACACGATCTCCTGCCGTTGCCCCTCCAGCTTGGACAGCTCGGCACGCATGAAGTCCTCGACGGTGTCCTCGGTCTGCCGCTGACGTCGCTGCACGGCCTCCAGGAGGCGCTGGTAGAACTGGGACGTTTGTTGCCGTACCGCGGACACGTTCTCCTTGACTTGTTCCGTTTCAGTGCAATTCTGAACTAGCAAGCGCGTCAGGATCTCCTCCGTGTCTGGCACGCACAGGCCACGTCGTTCGGTTGACAGGCGCCCGTTGCCAGTGTTCATGATCGAGTCTCCAGCACCTCGTGACGATGATGAGGATGATGCCATACTGCCATCCAATAACGCCATGCTATCATCCGATGACACTGTCCTGAAGATGGATGACGTCATGCCACGTCGCCGTGCCTCGGCAGCCTGGGCCAGACTGAGCACGGAGTGGTCGTGGCGTGCGTGATCGCTGGTGGCGTTACACAGCTCGCACAGCAGCACGTTGCACGTCAGACACACGCTGCTCAGCGCACGGGTGCGGTGCAGCGTGCAGTTCCGCTCCTCGGCCTCCGACACGGCATCCTCCGTCGCGTACGCCTGCAGCTGCTCGGCACCCAGCTCCGAGTGGACCTCCAGATCAGCACTGCCCGGATATAGCGTTACCGTGACGAGGTCGCCAGTAGCGCGGTGGATCGGGGTGACCGTGTGTCCTGCCGTGCGTCTGCCGGCCTGTGCGTGGCTATTGCGGTGTGCCCGGCACAGGTAGACGGCAGGTGAGCAGTCTGTGCAGTACCAGTGTGCTGTTCCCGTCGGCTCATCGCACAGTGAGCATTCGCTATCTCCAGCCACGTCCTCGTTGCTACTATGGTGTACTTCAGTGCCCGCCCTGCTGCTGCCAGTGCCACTGTCTTCATCAACCATGCCTGCTCCAGTCCAGGCAGTAGATCTACCGCCCAAATCGCTACCATCATACGCAGTATACTCTCTGCCATCAGCACCAGGTCGCGCGAGTTTCGCTGACCCGCCGGTGTTCTCCGCGGGTGTAACCTGCGGAATTCGAGGCAGTGACTCGGGCGGTTGGAAACCTTTCCTGGCATCCTCTGCAGTGCCCACTGCCCCGCATTCCGGACAGATCAATGCCCCGTCGCCGCCTCGCACATGCAACTCCAGGCATTCGTAGCACACGACGTGCAAACAGCGAGTCAGTCGCGGCTTGACGGCCGGTTTCTTCTTGCAGGATGCGCACGGCCACGGCGGTCCCTGCTGTGTATTCACTCGCTGTTGTCGCTCCGAGCCCGTCAGCCAGCTCTGCTCTGCAACAACACCAACGTCGTCGTCGTCGCTTGGTGTTAGTTTGATTCGCATGTTGGTCGGTGCCAGCTAGCGAAGCCGGCTGATTGACAATATCACGCACTTCTCACTCGTACTCTGCTTGCACACACAGGTCTGCGGTGTGCAGGTGCAAATGCTTGAAATGGTTTTTGGGGGCTAGGTCAAAGTAGTTGCTCATCGGGCTGCCTCCGATCGCGGACTTTTCACGCACGGCTCGACTGATCACACTTTCCTCACCACCCCGGCCTCTTTCGAGCACTGACTGTTTACGGCTGTGTGTACAGCAATTATGCAACACTCTTCAGCTGCTGAACTCTACAAAATAGCGACCATACCCACTAGTTACACCATCAGAATGTAGCTCACGAATGAGGGTCAATTGTTCTGCATTTTGAAGCCATAATTATAATGCATACGCCATAGCCGACATGCCTTTGTGCTACTGCCGTACTCATGGTACTGGCACTCCAGACCAGGACTAGCTGCAGAGTGGCAAGGACAGCAGATGAGCAAGGGGCCGGGGGTCTTTCGAAACCCTACAATACACGTGCGCCGTAGGCAAGACCGCGGGCATGCAAGGCTGCCCGGATCGGATCGGAGTGTGCGTAGGATGGCCACAGGGAAAGTCCCTTCGGTTTTCGAAAGACTTTCTATGGGAAGCAGACTCCCTGCTGCTGATGGGAGAGACCATACCACGACTCACCAGTACCAGTAGAGCTACAGTACAAGTACAAGGCGGCATCTACCCCAGTCATGCAGCACAACACTCAACAGACTACTAGTATTATCATAGCGCTAGCGGTGGGTTGCGCACTGCTGCAGCTGGTCAGGTGTCTGTGCAGTCGAGTCATGCAGTTCTTGATCTTGAGCAGCTGAAGCAGTCTTGCAATGGCAGTCATCATGCAGAAGAGGACGCCTTTGCAGCTTGCTCGCATCATGCAAGTAAAAAAATAGAAGAAGAAAAAACAGAAGTCGTGCGTCAATGCCACCGCACTGTGCCATGGGGTGCTGTCAACCTGCCAACAGTAGTACTCAGCGGTCTGTGGTGCAGCAAATAGCTTGGCTAGCACGCCATCACGTATTTTATTCACAGCTGCCCTGTAGTCCGCTGCTGTCATGTTAGCAGCCACGCGCCCCCCAATTCCCCACCCTCATCACCACACGCACGCACACATACACACACACGCACACACACCATGTACCATATGCGCACATCGCAAGAGAAGCACGCAAATCGGCCAATGCACTGGATGTGCACCCACAGATTTTCTCTTATAGCAACGATAGCGGATCTGACACACACACACACACACACACACACGCACACACACGCGCCAGGGACTTACCTGGAAAATAAGCAACAGTGCACGAATAAAGGACAAGGTGATGGCATACAAGTCTTGAAGAGATTCCAGGTTCAGAACATGTGCAACAGATCTAAACAAATCACTATAATCAGTAACAGAGGAAATCTGGGCATCCACAGCCAGCAACACGCCGTTGGACTGGTGGTGACGGTACCCGTGCCAGCGATGAGAAGATGGACACGGCGCGTGCATACGCGGCACGCACTTTATCATGTTGGCCTAAGAAGAACGCAGGGCTAGCCGCTAGTGCATTGTGTGATAATCAGTCTTGTGTTTCCCAGCTCAGTGTCGTGATGATTGCACAATGCTCATATGTATGAGACCTAGAGAGATAACACCATAGCTGCAGGGGGTGTCGGACACGGTACGGTCACTACGGTAGTCACTACGATATTGACCGTACCACCTTTCGCCCCAGGCACCCCGCGAATCAATAAATACATTGATCCGGGCTCTAAATTTCCAAAATGTTCGGCTCAGCCACCCCTTCGGCTTCCCGGCAGGTAAATTGTAGTTCAGGCGGCTGACCGTACCAGACTAAAATACCTTCCGACGCCCCCTGATAGCCGTGATCCACTATTGTATCATAGAGTGCATAGGTTATTACAGGTGCCTTCAAAAGACTAACCAAAAGATGAATTGACAAACGGATGATTGAGAGCTCGAATCGATATCGGCCGGCAAACACGATTGTGAGGTGGCGGGTAAGTTGTGTCCGGATAGCCAGTAGGCGAAGGGAAAGCGAATGTCAAGAGTCCATAATTATACATGTAGGCGAAGGGAAAGCGAATGTCAAGAATCCATAACTATACATGCACCTCCAAGGAGAATACTACCTATTCAGAGGCTAAAAAATAAAAAAATAGAAACGATGTGGCTCGTGCACGATGTTGTAGACCTTTCTGAACCTATCGGAACACAGACTCAGGATCTCAGAGGGAAGGCCGGAAAGCATATCAGCAAGTACAAGTGCCGGTAGGGCTTTCTAATGGTGCTACATCATGGCTAGGACGTTCCTGTGTAACGCTTACCACGCAACAGGGAATGCGAACTGACACTGATTCGAGGCCAGGGGTGATGATGCCTGGCAAGTCTGCCGCAGTTAACGGTATCACCATCATTATCATCATCACATGGCTAATTGTGTTTTGATGGCCCGTAAAAGAGGCGTTACTCTCACCACCATCATCATCATTAACACATTCGGGTTGCCGCAGCAACACTGTCACGCCATTCCATCATTTTCTCGGTGACCGGCATACCTGGCTGTGAACCGTCATCGTCCTCGCGCCTACGACGATGGTGGCGCGGACGCAGGAGGAGCACTGCCGTCCTTCTGCCATTGCTCCAGGTGCGCGCGGATCACTGCCAGCAAGTTGTTGTTGGCGAAGACTAGCGACGACGTCATCGGAAGGTTGGTGAGCGGACTGGTGTGTCGGCCAGACGTGATCCACGACACGATGGCTGACCGCTCGTAAGAGAAACCATCTGTACGCACACACACGGGAATATGCAACAGAGGCGTCACAAGGCAGTGGGGAGTGGTACGGCAGGGGTCGGAGGTGTCCCCCGGGAGGGGGGGGGGGGCAGGGCATGTTTTAGCGCTATACATACGCTCTGGCCAGCTGGGTGGACCACCCTGGAAGGAAAGTGGCTCACGACCATAGTCGTATTGTGTGTGAGTTTTCCGCATCCGTAGGAACGCCACCACCCTTCAAGGATCAAGGCGCAGATGCAGCTCCTAAAGCGGTGGGAGGTGAGTAGATCAGCTCACCAGCATGTGGTCAAAGACCGAAAATCCCATTCACTGCATCCATGTTTTCCTCTTTCCAAAGGGTGTATCCTAAAGACTATGATGTAGGAGAGGTGGGGTAATTGTCATGAGGAAATACATGTATCACCAGCCATTCGGCAGTCAGTGCATGGCTGATGGGTAGGGGTCACGAGATGTTGCTACAACCTAGCTGCTGTATATGTACTGTACAAGTACAGAAGCGTTCCACCCTCCCCACACAGACACACATGCACACGCACGCATGCACACACATCCCTACAGATACGCACACAAATGAAAATGAAACACTGACACAGACACAGACACACACACACACACACACAGTAGCCAATCAGCAGCGGAGCAGGACCAGCAGGCAGCTTACCCGACGCCACGACCGGATCACGCATAATCTCCATGGAAATGGGGCACAGAAACTCGTTCGGCACTGCACATGACAACACAGACAGGAAGAGCAGCCATCATTACCATGACAACACACACAGGAAGAGCAGCCATCATTAGAGAGGTTGCGCACAAGGAAAATTCGTAAGATTTTGACCGTCCGGGTTCGAGTAGCGAAAGTTGCTTTGAAGATCCATCCAAACGTGACCGAAACAGAGCAGATCTACGAAAATACTTTTCGTTAGTTGAGTACTAAGATAATAAAAAATACTGATATTTTACAACTCCCTGTCTTCACTCTTCGCACCCGCGCGGCCGCCGCAACCTCCCGGTTTACGAATATTCGTTAGCTTTTATATTTTCGTTACGGCGCTACGGATTTTCGTTGTGCGCAACCTCTCTATTACCATGACAACTAAATGGCACATTCAGGTTCAAATGAAAAGAACAATGGATAGCAGGTCGCTCTAATACTTAGACAGGGAAACACTTGCGCCGGGTTTTAGTTCACGATTTGCGAGCACAGACCAATTTGCGACTGAAAAGTTTGCGTTTGGAATCAGTTTCATTAGTTATTTTTAGGGGTGCAGCCAGCACTCGCAGCACGCCATGGGTGCATCCTTCCGTGCAGCCGAGGCATTCACACAGAAGTCACAACGGTTCGTTGCAAACTCCGAGTTCCACCGCGCTACATTAAAATCATGTTGCCGGATGGTCGAATGGCGTGAAACTCGGAGTTGTCAACAAATCATTCATTGGTTTGTGGGAAAGACGTAAACAGGAGAAGCCAGAAGAGAAATTGACTGTCACCACCAGGACTGGAACCAGGGACCCTCGCTTGAAGCGAGCGATGCTCTACCATTAACCTATGGTACAGGTGTCATACAAGCAGCGGCCGTTCAACATTCTCTTCAGAGTTCGAAATGTCAACAAATCGTTCTGACTTCCGTATCATAAAGCTCTGCCCACAGATGCTGGGCAGTGTTTGAGCAGTGCAAGTCACCTGCAGTGTACAACGGATACTCTATATGGAAGCTCAGCTAAGTCGAAAATAAATCAGGGTCTTGAGGAAAGTACATTATCACGTGCAATGAGAAAGATAAATCAAATGCCGACGCAGCCCACACGGTCAAGTAAAGCCTATTATGTAACCGAACGCTTTCGTTCCCTTCTCATCTTTACTTGACTGCGTGGACTGCGTCGGTGTTGACACTTTTTTCGAAATTGGATATGCCTCCAATTATTTTCCAGAAATCAAATGATTCAGGTTTCATGAAATGAACAGTACATTTCCCCGCGTTCTGAGGACCCTGCTGATTTTGCAGCCTCCGTTCCAGCTTCGGCCAGTTCTGTTGATGCTGCTCGTGCCAATGCGGCTGAGGCCGGTGTTGAGGCCGACCATTGCTCTGCAGGATGGTGGCAAGCTCCCGTCGCTCTTTACGAATTGACCGTAAATCTCCCGTCACGCCACAGCGTAATCCCCTGCTGCTTGAAATACCGCCATTCCTCTTCCTCCACCAGCATAACTCCCATGGAGCTATGAAGCCGAGACCTCTGGTCGGCTGAGCTTAATGGGCCCCACCACCACACTCCATTATTCACCCCAGTGTCTGGGGATATGAGGAATTTGTAGAAAAAAATAAAAAATAAGGTTGAGATAGTAGCGTGTGCTGTACTCCCGGCACACCTCTCGCATTGTCGGCATTGTCGGATCGTAGAGAAGTGTTGGCCTGATGCGCTATTGCGCCCTTACCCGCCACAGTTGAATATTCGTCGGTCAACTGTCGCAAGAATCCAACCACTGCACCAAGCTGTACCTACGTACGACAAGATGCCGTTTATACATGCTCAATACGGGTCGGTCCCAATTTGGAGGCAGAGGTACGCCTTACGCCTCAAAGCGAATTCTATTATTCTATACTTGCGGTTCCCGGTGGACAAGACCTGGCTTTCATTTTCGAAAATGTCAGCCTCTCAGGTAACAACTACTGACGATCATGCAACCAAACCAAGATACATACAAAGAATGCATTCACATCCGTCCTCAAACTCCCATTCATCAACGATCGCCTAGCCGGCGACGTTCGTCGCACAGTTCGGTCGTACAGCAAAACATGTCCGCGTTGTCTTTCCGTCTGGTCAATCCCTGGAAGACATGTTGGTGCCTTCTTCATTCACCAGTCCAGAGTGCCTCCAAGAGGGCTACAAAGGAAGGCGAAGAGAAGGAGGAGGCCAGTGGAATACCGTACATGTGACATTGGTATGAGTGACGGTCGGTCAGTGTACGTCGTAGAATGTGGTCTATTCAATGTTTTGTTCCGTTTGTGGAGGGGAGGATGTGGGAGAGACGGAGCGATGTGTCAGGGAGCGATTCCAGGAGCACTACAGAGAAGCTAGAGTCTGTGCACCACAAAGCCCCTGGGGAGAGCACTATGCATTGCACCAACCACTACAGCATCCATCCACGGCGCCATTCATTCCCTTCACATCACCATCCATACTCGCAAAGGAAGTGTCATACGTGAACCGCCGGATAAGGGAGGCCATCCACATATCCAGACGCCATCCCAAGGTGAACAATGATCGTGGTTGGGTACTGCTTGACATTATTGACAATGTGAAATTCGGATGATGATCCCAGTTACCGCTGCCAAGGTACTGTCCTGTTCTCATGTGTGCTTGTTCAAGCCATTGTTATAAAGTTATAGGCACTCTCCTGTATGCTGTACATACTGCCAAGAGTACATGAAAACCAGAGTGTGCAGCTCGGATGGGTTGCTGCCACGGCGGAATTCCGTGATTACATCATTTTAGTGATGTAGCGCGTACAAGAAGGATTCAAGCAGGTCTCTTTCTGCACAACTGCAGCTCAGTTGTACGCACTACGCCATTTCCTGCCTCAGATCTGCGCCAAATATGATGTAGTCACAGAATTCCGCCGTGACAGACACCCATAGCAGAAACATCCTCAAGCTGCACATTCTGGTTTTCATGTATTCTTGACACAGCCGTGTTGAACTGAGGTCCCGAGCTGAATTGGCAATCATGCATGGTTACAACAACACTCACACGTTCACACACTTTCTTACCGGATCGATTTGCGGGGAACAGCTCACTGAGCGAGCACAGAATCGTGTGACGCTCGCTGGGCTTGTCTGCGTCGAGATCACACACACAGTATATAGCATGTGCACACATACACGCACACAAACACATACACGCACACAAACACACACACACATGCGCGCGCGCGTGCGAGCGAGCACACACACACACATAAACCAAAAAAAGGATTAACGATACCGACAGAGAGACGAGCAGACGAACGGACTCCGGCTCACGCGAGCGCGTGCACACAGACACATACACACAGACACACACACACAGACATACAGACACACATATTTTGCTCACCGATTTTGAACCTCTTGCAGAGATCCTGTACATGCAAAGAGTGGAGTACAGCACCATCAGCCTTCTCTTGCTTGAACACTGCACTGTGTTGGCTGAGACTGAGCGATTTCAGCCATTGACCAACGTCATCCACACCCCAGGACTCGGGAGATGATGATGGCACCTGAACGTGGAAGAGGGTGAGTGTGTTATGTGCATGGATGCGCACGCACACACACACACACACACACACACACACAAAACACAGGCAGACAGAAAGACACACACACACACACACACACACAAATACACACATGCGAGTGAACCCACGTGACACTCGTCAACATGATATGCAATGAAATAGTATGACAAAGCAAAACTCACACAGGGTTCAGGAACTAGAAAGAGGCAGATCGGGTTGATGTGTTTCTGGAAGATAGTGTTCAGTTTCAACGTGTGTGTGTGTGTGTGTGTGTGTGTGTGTGTGTGTGAGAGAGAGAGAGAGAGAGAGAGAGAGAGAGAGAGAGAGAGAGAGAGAGAGAGAGAGAGCTTGAAAGAGAGACTCTGCAGCACAAATTGAAGTCTTACATTGGCTGACTCAACTGGTCCCAGTGCTGATGCAGCCAAAGATCCTACATATGTCACAATAACAGCAGCAATAACAGCAACAGCAACAGCAGCAGCAATAGCAACAGCAGCAACAGCAGCAACAACAGCAGCAGCAGCAGCAATAGCAGCAGCAGCCGCAGCAGCAGCCGCAGCAGCAGCAGCAAGAATGAGACAGGAGGTGAGAAAAGTGAAGGCAAGCATCTAGACGCCCATTGCCAGAGGCGATGATATGTTATGGACAATGCTACAGCAGAAGCCATGCAACTGGTGCAGCAGTGCCAAAACCAAAGTTATGAACTTAGGATGTTGACAAAGTGCATCGTCAAAACCAGTTCATTTTGAGACACAAAAGGACAGGTTTCTTGTGTTGCAAACCGGAAGATATGGACAGATTGTGATGTTGACAAAGTGTATCGTCAAAAACCAGTTCATTTTGAGACACAAAAGGACAAGTTTCTTGTTGCAAACCAGAAGATATGGACAGATTGTGAATAGAGTGTAACAGTACCTATTACAGCACACAGACAGTCCAGCATCTCACCATCACTTTGCTGCAGTTTCCACAGTCTAATGACACGGTCACCACCGGTGGAGATTGCAAACCGTCCGCAAGGTGAGAAACGACAGGAGCTGATGAACCTGCACCACAGACCATGTGTGTGTGTGTGTACGTGTGTGCATGTGTGTGTATGTGCGTTCATGTGTACGTACGAAAGCACAACAAGAGAACACATGTCTAAAAACGACCAGCGGCACTGTCGCTAGATACAACCCATCTTCTCAGGCACCACAACATTCTTCCAACACAAGCCTAGTGCTTCATATATGGTGGTAAAGACACACCTGGCAATACGACGGTAAACACACGCCTGCCCACACTCGCTCTCTAGGCTGCAAAGTTCTTGCACAGAGCTCTCCTTCTCGCCACCACCAACATCCGTTCGCGCCTGGCGCCTAGTCGATGCATGGTTGGCGGTATCCGACATAGCAGGCTGGTACATCAAGTAGCGCATGGCACATAGAAGATGGCACAGCAACGACATAGCTCGATTGCGACGTACGTTTCGTCCCCGCTGGACTCATCAGGCAATCTTCTTCTTGGATGTCTTCATACGGAGCTTGACTCGGGAGAATGAAGTTGAAGACACCACTGCAGCTGTACTTATGGTTGATAAATATGGTGGTAAAGACACACCTGGCAATATGGCGGTAAACACACGCCTGCCCACATGCTCTCTAGGCTGCAAAGTTCTGGCACAGAGCTCTCCTTCTTGCCACCACCACCATCCGTTCGCGCGCCTGGCGCCTAGTCGTGTGTCTTCAACTTCATTCTCCCGAGTCAAGCTCCGTATGAAGACATCCAAGAAGAAGATTGCCTGATGAGTCCAGCGGGGACCAAACGTACGTCGCAATCGAGCTATGTCGTTGCTGTGTCATCTTCTATGTGCCATGCGCTACTTGATGTACTAGCCGGCTATGTCGGATACCGCCAACCATGCATCGACTGGGCGCCAGGCGCGAACGAATGGTGGTGGTGGCGAGAACGAGAGCTCTGTGCCAGAACTTTGCAGCCTAGGGAGCGTGTGTGGGCAGGCGTGTGTTTACCGCCATATTGCCAGGTGTGTCTTTTACCACCATATTTATCAACCATAAATACAGCTGCAGTGGTGTCTTCAACTTCATTCTCACGTGCCTAGTGCATTTGCACATTGTGTACACTGTGCACGCTGTGCTTGCCTGTGTGTGTATGTGTGCGTGCGCACGCGTGTGTGTGTGTGTGTGTGTGCGTGCGCACGCGCGTGTGTGTGTGTGCGCGTGTGTCAGTATATAAGTGAGTTCAGCTTACCCTAGATGACCGGACGCCTGAGATATGTCCTTGCCAGTTTCCTGTCAACACACAAGTAGGTCACACACACACGCGCGCGCACGCTCATACACGCGCACACACACACACACACACATACACAAGCACACACACACACATGTTCATACCCATAATTCATTCAGCTAACATTTCACTCTGTCTCTTTCTCTCTTCCGCACTCGGGGTAAGCACTCATCCGTAGACCTCACACCTATTAGTACCCACACAGACAGACAGACAAACAGACAGACAGACAGATAGACAGGCAAACAGACAGACGGACACACGTACACGCACAGACAGGCTACTGGACAGATAGACAGACAGACAGACTACTGGACAGATAGACAGACACACAGACACACAGACAGACACACAGACAGAAGGATAGACAGACAGACAGACAGACTAGTGGACAGACAAACAAACACAACAAACACAACAAACACAACATAACCAAGTGACTTACAAATTTCCACAGACGGATGGTCTTATCAGCTGATCTGCAAACACAAAAAAAATGATGGGAAACATTGATGACGAGCACTAGCATGTTTCCAGCTCTCACAAAGCTACCCACCTTGCTCACAAAGCGACCCAGCTTGCTCACAAAGCGACCCGGCTTGCTCACAAAGCGACCCGGATTGCTCACAAAGCGACCCAGCTTGCCCACAAAGCGACCCAGCTTGCCCACAAAGCGACCCGGATTGCTCACAAAGCGACCCAGCTTGCTCACAAAGCCCCAGCTTGCTCACAAAGTGACCCGGCTTGCCCACAAAGCGACCCGGCTTGCTCACAAAGCGACCCAGCTTGCTCACAAAGCGACCCGGCTTGCTCACAAAGCGACCCGGCTTGCTCACAAAGCGACCCGGCTTGCTCACAAAGCGACCCGGCTTGCTCACAAAGCGACCCAGCTTGCTCACAAGCATAATAATACAGTAAAGTACCGCGGGAGCGCTCCGTCTCGTGAGAACAAACAGCCCCGACTTGATTTTACAGCCTGGGAGAGGAAAGAGGTATTGCTGAGTGCAGCAGAGTGTGTACGGTGTGACAACCTTAGTGTACTAAGGTCACACTCAGCATGTTCTGTTGTAGAGCTGGCATCCGCTCAAAGAAAAACTGAGTATGCATTGACTGCATGACATACAATGTGTATACAAGGTACGTGTCGTATGACCTACAGATAGGACACAACCACAAAAGGCAGGTGGTGATGGGGTGCTCCCGCGGTACTCGATGGAACAACTATTGAGTGTTTAGTTGTTCTATCCGTATGCATGTGTGTGTGTGTGTGTGTATGTGTGTGTGTGTGTGTGTGTGTGTGTGTGTGTGTGTGTGCGCGCGCGCATGTGTGCGTGTGTGTGTGTGTGTGTGCGTGTGTGTCACATGTCAGTTGTCGCTTACCCCGATATGAGAAATCGCTTGTCAGGAGACACGGCCACAGAGTAGACGGACGATGCGTGCCCGCTGAACACCTGTCTGCGTTGTAGCTGTGTGGTGCCTGTCAGGGTGTGAGGGTGCACACACACAGACACACAGACACACAGACACACACACACACACACAGACAGACAGACACACACACACACACACACACACACACACACACCATGTACCATGTAACATGTATACGCCCGTCGCAAGAAAAGTACGCAAATCTGCAAATGCACTGCATGTGCACCCACAGATTTTCTCAACGATGGCGGACAAGATCTGAATGAGACAGATCAAAACTTGTGCCAGATAACTGTCTAATCCACACAACTGGTGAAGCCATGTGAATCGACCACCAATGCACACCTGGTCTACACCACACGGAGTACATCGGCATAAAACGGCCAAGACAGTTACCTATGCACACCCTACACTTGCTGGGGTAACCAATATAGACAGCACGCTGCTTTGATAGAAGCAGACACTAGATGCACTGGTACCTTGAAGTGAAATTGGAGTTAGTTTACCAACCAGCCTCAGCTACTGAGTACTGGGAACCCAGAGCCAACAGACGTACCAACAACCTCAGCCATGAAAGCTATATAATAACGACACACTGGATTGTGGAGCCGAAACTAGTCCAGCTTCTAAATGCTTTGGCAAGAAGGTACACACACACACACACACATGAACAAGCAGCCGCACTCACCTGATTGCGCTTTGAGCTGCCACAGGGTGATCTTGCTGTCCGTACCACCGCTAACCACGTATTCTAAGAACAAGCCAACAGACACACAGGTGCACACCCACGCACACACACACACGCACATGCACGCACACACACACATACACACACACACACACACACACACACATAGCGGGGCGAGCATTCCACCTCATCAGATGAAAGTGCAGCTTTTTACCCCGGAAATCATGGACCCTGGTGTATAAGTACATAAAAAACGGCGTGCAAACATGCGAGGATTGCACGTGACGCATCAGGTGGAGGAAAACGAAAAATGGGAAATGTCACTACCAGAACCCGAACCGGGCCAGGGGGTCCTTGCATATGGCCAGCGATGCTCTACCACTAAGTTATGCTGTACTGTTAAGCTGTGTTCCCAACTGGCGCGTGGACGAGGTACACTTGCAGTTCACGCGTACCCAAACGCCCAAAAGCCAGCAAAAATACGCGCAAACGTGTGGTTTCACGCGTACACGCGACAGTTGTGAACACAGCTTAACAGTTGAAAGCGTGACGAGTCTAAAGTTTAACGACTAGCAAAATGTCCCCACTTGGCGGGCGCAAAGTTTACCGACCCAGCCATCACACACCCGTCGTCTGTTTCTCTAGTACAGACGAGAGAAGGAATAACATACGTGTAACGTTTCTTGACTTAGTGAAGGATTTCCTCTCGTTGAAACGTTAGACTGTGTGCCCCGTTAGAGATTCAAATCTTACAGCTTCGCTAATAACGACTGCGGATATAACGACAATTCGCGAATAACGACAGAATTTCCATGCCCAGAGCAAAGTCCCATCTAACTGTAATACATTATAATGAGATTTCGGGTATAACGACACTTCGCGAATAAGGACACTGTTCTGATGCCCCGCCGAGTGTCTTTATACGCAAAGTTGACTGTAGTTGTCATCCAAGCAGCGATGCAAGTGATGCATACGCACCACTCACCACTCACCTGCATCGGAGACAAACTGTGTGAGGCAACATACGCCCAAGTCGTGAGCATTGGCCACTTGCGACACGAGGCGGCAGTCAAATGCATCCCAGAGCATCAAGTGGCCGCTGCTACTGCCGATGACGACCTGCCAGCCGTGAGAGGTCCATGCACAACACTGCAACCTGACACAACACACACCAAGGGAGGAAGGGGGAGAGAGAGAGAGAGAGAGAGAGAGAGAGAGAGAGAGAGAGAGAGAGAGAGAGAGAGAGAGAGAGAGAGAGAGAGAGAGAGAGAGATAGAGTGAGTGAGAGGGAGGGAGGGAGAATGAAAGTGTGTGAGGGAGAGAGAGAGAGAGAGAGAGAGAGAGAGAGAGAGAGAGAGAGAGAGAGAGAGAGAGAGAGAGAGAGAGAGATAGAGAGAGAGAGAGAGAGAGAGAGAGAGATCTCCTGTTAAGTTGAGCTCAACATAGCGTGGATCGTTCTCACATCCACTTCCTCATTGCTGTTGCCTTCCCAAGAAAAGGCAAGAGTCCTAGACAAATGACAAATTGTTCAAGCCGAAATACCAATACGCATCTACCCTCATTAGTAGACAACCTCGGGGGTTCAAATCTGTCTTCTTATAATAAGTACATGTGCTATCTACTGTCGTGGACATGGAAATCCGGTCGCATGTCTAGCGGCCCCAGGGCGCTGGCCTGCAGCCATCGGCAAGCGGTACGCACATGCATGTATGCACGGCAGCGCGTTGGTCGAATCGGATCAGCACATGAGCACTGCATGCAACGTTCTGTACGCGCTGAGGGCGCCGGCCCCGGTCATTCGACCGGATTTCCACGTCCACGACAATACTATCCGGACTTGCATGTGCGATTGCTAAATGCGTTTCAGGCGTCAGGGGATTTCGGGTCTTTGTCTGCTAATCAGGCTTGTTTTGTAACTGATATCGTACTAACAGCGGTAGATCAGTATAAGCAAGGGAAACTGACTTACTGGCCTTCCGTGGACGTCTTCCATGTTTTAACTTCAATGGAAGTGGCAATGTTGAACACGGAGAGAGTGTCATCGGAGGCCGACGACAGGATGTGAGTGCCGTCAGCCGAGAATGCAACCGCTCTCACTGCTCCGCGATGGTGACCTGACATGGTGGCTGTGAATAGAACCATACACACACACACACACACACACACACACACACACACACAATACATACACACATACACACACGTGCACATATTCACACACAAACACACATGCACATACACACACACACACACACACACACACACACACACACACACACACACACACACACACACACACATGCAATTTGTTAGATTGACAGCATGAAACAAGATCTAATACTGGTTTTTTAACCAGTGTTAGGTTATATTATAATACACACACACATGTATGAGCACACATATCCTCAGACCTCAGACCTCAGACATGCCCATCGCGGAAGCGATGATAGCGAACAGCTATGTTAGACATAGCAACTTGTGCTGGGATTACACCATTCAACAACTTGCAAGGCTGCTGAATTGACCGCCACTATTTTTAGCCTGGTATCCACCACACAGCTGTTTGAAGTGACTTTTTCTGGCCAGTGAATTACACATATCCATGCACACACACACACACACATGCTCACACACACACACACACACACACACACACACACACACACACACACACACACACGCACGCACAAGCATGAACCCTCACATCCACACACGTGTGCGCGCTCACACACACGCACGCACACACACACCACACACACACACACACCCTTGACCTTGACCTTTGACGCCCATCGCCGGAGGCGATGATAGCAATGCTACGGCAGAAGCCATAGCAACTTATGCTGGGATTACACCATTCAACAGCTTGCAAGGCTGAAGAATTGACCGTCACTATTCAGCCTGGTCTACACCATACAGCTATTTGGAGTGACATTTTCTGGCCAGTGAATCCCTATTTTTGGTCTTTTTCATTTTTTTTTTTTTTTTCCCCCGCACACGTCACATCACACCACATACTCCGGCATGCACTGGCTGTTGGTAACCACCCAGGAGAATGAAAGAAAAGTCAGGAAGAGTCTGAGACACACACACACACACACACACACACACACACACACACACATCATCATCATCACACACATCATGTACAAAACTATCCGAAATCTCCGAGAAAAGCGGATTTGAGACCGTAGCAGATCAATAATGACGCAATGGTCCACAGTTCGTGGCTACGTAATGCAGGCAGCACGCCGCGCCAGACCCCACATGCAGAGTTGCATACTCTTTGGTTATGTACTCTTCATGTCATGTAGCACCCCATACTGTCCCCCATACTGGGCCATAGTCCGTCAAATGTACAATCATGTACCGTAAAGTACCGTTGATCCGCCCCCACGCCATGTCGCTTCCCAGCTGGGTTTTCGGCAGGGGGCGGGAATTAGATCAAGGCTGTCAAGTGCAGTACGATGTACAACAACGTAGAGGATCAGACTCAAAGTGCTAAATTGTGCACATTTTGATCCTGGATTGGCAAGTATTGTGTACAGCAGTGCATGCGTCGGTTCAACATCGTATTTCGTTGTATACGGCGAAGTCGCTTCACAAGGAGAAAATCGACAGGGGGCGGGAATTAGAGAGGGGGCGGATCAACGGTACTTTACGGTATATGTATAATAATAATTATGTACTAGAGCGCATGACGTCATGGTTAGCTCACCAACACATTCTCCGGTGCCGACATTCCAGACGCGAATACTACAGTCCGTTGAGCCGGTTCCCAGCAGCGTTCCGCACGGCGAGAACGTACAGGCGTTCACGTGGTACTTGTGCCCGATCAGCTGGCGAATGTGTCCCGACGTGCTGCTGTCTGGCTTGGGAGTTGCGGAGGCCTGCAGTTGGGCTGCACCCGATGTATCGCACGCCACCAGCACGGCAGTGCGATCCGACGAGCCCGTGGCGAAGCGCTTTCCGTCCGGAGCAAAGCAGCAGGCGTTTACGTCGCTGCGGTGCAGTCCCTCGACAGTGCAGAGCAGTGATAGTGTCGGATCAGCCGACTGCATTTTTTTTCAACTGCTTGACGTGTCGTTTGCGAACAACCAGCAGCAGCACGACTAAATCTATTCCTGTGACGAGAAAAACAACGACAGCGGAAGACTAGGCAGAGACGGGGAAACCCTTTCCTTGGCTGAGGATGGCCAGCTTCACAAAGGAAACGAAAGAAATCGAAATGGTTGGTTGCTGCTGCCTTTGCATTTTGGTTTTCCAGTTTGTCTTTCATTTTTGGAAGATGCTTTGTCTGAAGTCGCGAAGGCGAGTCCGAGTTTGAACCGAATTACGAAGGGTGTGTATGTGACGTAATACCATCACAAAGTTACGTCAGCTCTACCATCCTTCTGTCACACTCACACGACTGTCGACGTGTCAGTTGAATCAGTTCACTGCTGCTGCAGCTGTTGTTTGTGCACAACTGTTTTCATCTGTCTGTCGACATGTCCTGGATGTCTGCGCTACAGGCATCAGCCTGATCAGGTACTAGGTGAGATTCTCATGTCAGCCTTTTTTCCTTTTCTTTTTCTTTAGAGTCCCATACCCAACTGACATAATTATCCACTTCAAGTGGCATCTGTCAGACCACTTTTTGGTCTTTTTTTTTTAAGAAAGAAAAAAAGACCAAAAGCATAGATTCACTGCGGGCCAAAAAAAGCCACTTCAAATAGCTGTGTGGTGTAGACCAGGCTGAATAGTGAAACACTAGTGGGGGGGGGGGGGGGGGGGGCAATTCTTCAGCCTTGCAAGCTGGTGAATGGTGCAATCCTAGCACAAGTTGCTATAGCTTCCGCTTTAGCATCGCTATCATCGCCTCCGGCGACGGGCGCCGGGCGTCAAACGGTCAAAGGTATACAAACACAGGCTGCCATTCAGGATATTCCAGCAGTAACTACATGCATGTACATTGTACTAC